AGTGGAGGGAACAGGGCAGTGGAAGGAACAGCATGGTGGAGGGAACAGCATGGTGGAGGGAACAGGGCAGTGGAAGGAACAGCACGGTGGAGGGAACAGCACGGTGGAGGGAACAGCACAGTGGAGGGAACAGGGCAGTGGAAGGAACAGCACAGTGGAGGGAACTGCGTGGTGAAGGGAACAGCAAGCTGGAGAGGGAACAGCACAGTAGAGGGAACAGAGTGGTGGAGGTAACAGCAAGCAGGAGAGGGAACAGCAGGTGGAGGGAACAGTGTGGTGAAGGGAACAGCAAGCTGGAGAGGGAACAGCATGGTGGAGGGAAGAGCACGGTGGAGGGAACAGCAGGTGGAGGGAACAGCAAGCTGGAGAGGCAACAGTGTGGTGGAAGGAACAGCGTGGTGGAGGCAACAGCAAGGTGGAGAGGGAACAGCATGGTGGAGGGAACAGGGCAGTGGAGGGAACAGCACAGTGGAGGGAACAGCAAGCTGGAGAGGGAACCGCAGGTGGAGGGAACAGCACAGTGGAGGGAATAGCGCAGTGGAGGGAAAAGCATGGTGGAGGGAACAGCATGGTGGAGGGAACAGCATGGTAGAGGGCTTGAGGCAGGAAATGCTGGCACTGGTCACCCAGGAACTGGGGCTGCCACTGACAGAAGGGACATGGTGTAAACTATATGAGTGGGCCAGGTGCTGTGGCTCATGCCTGAAACTCACTGTAACTCACTGGGCTCACTCCCAGCACTTTGGGAGGCCAAGGCAGGAAGATTACCTGAGCCCAGGAGTTCGAGACTAGCCTGGGCAACATGGCAAAACCCCGTCTCTACAAAACATAAGAAAATTAGCCAGGTGTGATGGCATGCATCTGTGGTCCCAGTTACTTGGGAGACAGAGGTGGGAGGACTGTTTGAGCCTGAGAGGTTGGGGCTGCAGTGAGCCGTGATCACGCCACTGTACTTCAACTTACGTGACAGAGGGAGACTCTGTCTTTAAAAAAAAAACAAAAAACAAAAAAACAGAAAACAAAAAAACTACATGAGTAAATTAAAAACCAAATAAATGGGTAAGGCATGGTGGCTCACTTCTATTAATATAGAAGTTTTCTTGTAGTTTTGGAGGTCAGAAGTCTGAAAAGGTGTCAGCAGGGCTGGGTCCCTTCTAGAAGCTCTGGCGGAGAATCTGTTTTCTTGCCTTTTTTGGTTTCTAGAAGCTGCCTGCATTCTTTGGCTCATGGCCTCCTCCTCCTCCTCCTAAGCCTGCAGCATAGAAAGCTTCACGTCTTTCTCCAACACTTCTTCTTTTTTTTTTTTTTTGGAGATGGAGTCTCGCTCTGTCGCCCAGGCTTGGAGTGCAGTGGCGTGATCTCGGTTCACTGCAAGCTCCGCCTCCCGGGTTCATGCCATTCTCCTGCCTCAGCCTCCCGAGTAGCTGGGACTACAGGTGCCCACCACCACGCCTGGCTAATTTTTTGTATTTTTAGTAGAGACGGGGTTTCACCATGTTAGCCAGGATGGTCTCGATCTCCTGACCTCGTGATCCGCCCACCTCGCCTCCCAAAGTGCTGGGATTACAGGCGTGAGCCACCGCACCCAGCCTCTCTGACACTTTAGAAGGTCAAGGTGGGAGTGCTTGAGCCCAGGATCAGCTTGGGCAACACAGTGAGACTTCATCACTATAAAAAAAATAAAATCAGCCGGGCACGGTAACTCACTCCTGTAGGCCCAGCAACTTGTGAGGCTGAGGTAGGAGGATCACTGAGCCTGGGAGGTCAAGGCTGCAGTGAGCTGTGATCACACTACTGCACTCCAATCTGGACAACAGAGCAAGATGCTACCTGAAAAACAAACAAACCCCACAAAATAACAGGAGGCTATTACCATAGACAAGGCAGGATGATGACGGAAGGAGCATTTGAAGAACAGCTGCTTTCTAGAAATAATTTGGAGAGCCGGGCGTGGTGGCTCACGTCTGTAATTCCAGTACTTTGGGAGGCTGAGGTGGGTGGATCACCTGAGGTCAGGAGTTCAAGACCAGCCTGGCCAACATGGTGAAAACCCTGTCTGTACTAAAAACACAAAAATTAGCTGGGCATCGTGGCGGGTGCCTGTAATCGCAGCACTTTTGGAGGCCGAGGCAGGAGAATCGCTGGAACCCAGGAGACAGAGGTTGCAGTGAGCCGAGATTGTGCCATTGCACTCCAGCCCGGGCGACAAGAGTGAAACTCTGTCTCAAAAAAAAAAAAAAAAAAAAAGAATTTGGAGAAAGAACCAACGAGGTTGGCAGGTGGATTGGATATAGGGCATGAGTGAAAACACGACGGAAGTGAAGATGCCTCCTGGGCTTCGTCTTTAGGACTTAGTGGTTGCTGGTGCCATTTCCTATGGTGGGGAAGATGAGAAGAAGCAGGCTTGACAGGAAAGACCACAAGTTCTGTTTGTTTCCTATTGACGCTGTAACAAGTTACCACAGATGTAGTGGCTTACAACAACACAAGTTTATTATCTATTTTTTTTTTTTTTTTTTTTTTGCACTCTTTTACACAGGCTGGAGTGCAGTGGTGTGATCTCGGCTCACTGCAACTTCCACCTCCCAGGTTCAAGTGATTCTCCTGCCTCAGCCTCCCGAGTAGCTGGGATTACAAGCATGCACCACCACACCCGGCTAATTTTTGTATTTTTAGAAGAGACGGGGTTTCACCATGTTAGCCAGGCTGGTCTTGAACTCCTGACCTCAGGTGATCCGCCTGCCTCGGCCTCCCAAAGTGGTGGGAAGACAGGTGAACCACTGAGCCCAGCTGTAAGTTTATTATCTTCTAGTTTTGGAGGTCAGAAGTCTGAAAAGGTGTCAGCAGGGCTGGGTCCCTTCTAGAAGCTCTGAGGGAGAATCTGTTCTCTTGCCTTTTTTGGCTTCTAGAAGCTGCCTGCATTCCTTGGCTCACAGCCTCCTCCTCCTCCTTAAGCCTGCAGCGCAGCAAGCTTCACGTCTTTCTCTGACTCTGATTCTCCTGCCTCCTTCGCAGAAGGACCTTTGTGATTACACTGGGGCTTTATAACCCACCCGGGACAGCCCTGGGGGCTTCTGGGATGGGAGAGGCCTCCTTGGGAGGCTCCCAGCCTTCCCTGCAGTCTCACTGCTTCTCCTCTCTGCCTCAACAGACCCCTGAGTCCCCGTAGCCTGCACACGCCACCCTGCAGCCATGTTTCTCGGGCCTCCCTCATAGAAAGACCCTTGTGATTTCACTGAGCCCACCCAGATAATCCAGGATTTAACCCCACATCTCATGACCGTTTATTTATTTAATCATATCTACAAAGTCCTTTTGGCCATAAAAGGCAACATATTCGCAGGTTCTGGGGACTAGGACGTGGCCGTCTTTGGGGGGGCCATTATTCTGCCTCCAATAGCAGATGGAGAGGTGGGAATTTCAGCCTTTATAGGTGTATTGAAGCCACGGGCTTGGAAGGGATCACTAGGGAGAGTGTGCCGGCAAGGAGGACAGTGACCCAGCCCCCGGATCCTGGTGGCAGATAGAGGCCAGACCCCAAAGGCACCAGCGAAGACTTGAGGAATGAGGAGAGTCCGCAGAAAAATCTAGAAGAAAGTGTTTGAAAGAGATGGTTATGCTGGGCACAGTGGCTCACGCCTGTAATCCCAGCACTTTGGGAGACCGAGATGGGTGGATCACAAGGTCAGGAGATTGAGACCATCCTGGCTAACATGGTGAAACCCCGTCTCTACTAAAAATACAAAAAATTAGCTGGGCGTGGTGGTGGCGCCTGTAGTCCCAGCTACTCGGGAGGCTGAGACAGGAGAATGGCGGGCACCCAGGAGGCGGAGCTTGCAGTGAGCCGAGATCCGGCGACACAGCGAGACTCCATCTCAAAAAAGAAAAAAAAAAAAAAAAAAGAGATGGTTACTTATGTCCCGGGCTTCTGAGAGGTTGAGGAAGACGAGGATAGAGAGGGGTCCGTCCGTTGGATGTGGCATTGTAGGGACCCCTGGTGACCTTCACAGGAGCCGATTCAGAGCGTGGGAAGTCCCCCTGGGGTGGGTTCAGCTGGGGGTGAGCAGATGCATGCACAGGTGCAGGCTTTGTTGTTATTCTGTAAGCCACGCCGATACGTGAATATATTTCATAATGTATTAAAATGTAGAGTGACAGGAGTTGAGGAAGTGAAGACGATGTCTCATTTCTACCCCCATCCTGTGCTCTTTAATCTGTCCCAACCCACTGTGGCCACATCATGACTTTTTTTTTTTTTTTTTTTTTGAGACAGTCTCGCTCTGTTGCCCAGGCTGGAGTGCAGTGGCGTGATCTTGGCTCACTGCAAGCTCCGCCTCCCCGGTTCACGCCATTCTCCTGCCTCAGCCTCCCGAGTAGCTGGGATTACAGGTGCCCACCACCACGCCTGGCTAATTTTTGTATTTTTAGTAGAGACGGGGTTTCACTGTATTGATCAGGTTGGTCTCAAACTCCTGACCTCAGGTGATCCACCTGCCTCAGCCTCCCAAAGTAATGGGATTACAGGTGTGAGCCACTGTGCCCGGCCTCCAAACCTCCAGTTCTGACTAACCCACAGGATAAGGGCACCAACGTGCTGTCTCAGAAACTAAGGCCAGGCAGGGAAGGCCCCCGGGGTGGCCCACCAGGAAGCCAGCACTGCCCCCCAACAGAACCAACCCCAATGCTGGTGGTTTTCTGGCCTCCCCATCCCTACCCCCACGAGCGAGCAGAGTTTTTGTTAACCATCAGCATCACCCCTTCTTTGTCAGGGTGGGCAGCAGGCAGAGAGCGGTTGCATTTAACCATTTCCTGCCTGGCGCTGTGTAGAAGTAGAGACTGGGCAAATGTTTTCCCCGTAATTCAGAGTCTGGGCTAGGAATCTGCAGGCCACACAGGGAGCCTGTGAGCCCAGGCAACTGGAATGGGAAGTGTGCTGGGCAGGCAGGGAGAAGATGAGGAACATCAGCCAGCTCAGCTTTGCCATCTCCCCTCCCACTCAGGCTCCTGGTCACCAGCCCCAGAACCGAGAGGACACCAGGGCCTCTCCATCGATGCTTCCTTGTGCAGGATGAAATCCTTTGCCATTCTGTAGGTAAGTCAGCCCCAACTCCAGGGAATGCTCCCCAGGACCCCCTTTCTTGCAAAATCCCCTTCATCTAAACTCAAACCATTCCAACCCCAGCCCTGCCTAATCCAGCCCGTTCACCCCTAGACTCTAGCATCACCCACAGCAAGATTCCATCCCCATGTCCAGTCCCACCCCAACCCAATCCTAACCCCCGGCCACCTTTCCTGATGCAATCCTAGCAACAGAAACGATCCCTACAATGTATTGTGTGTCCACCGTGTGCCTGGCAGTCCTCTGAGTCATTTAGTTTTCATCCTCACAACCACACCATTTACAAGAGAGGAAGCGACAGTTCAGATAATGTAAGTCTTTTGGTTACCACTATGACAAAGGTCACACTTTTAGTGGTGGCTGATTCGAAACTCTAGCCCTTCCTGAGGCAACTAACTCATCACACCTCAGTGGAATTCACCCCTCCCTATTCAGTCTAACTGTGGCCATCCTAGTAACTAGCATGGGGCCTGGCATATATTAGGTGCTCAATAAATGCCATTTGAATGAATGAATGAATGAATGAACCTGATTCATTCATTAACTAAACTCTATCCATCCTACCCAATCAAACTCAAGTCATAGATTTACTGACAACCTCTTGGCTATATATATATATATAGAATCCTTGTCTGAGGCGGGGTGCCGTGGCTTACGTCTATCATCCCAGCACTTTGGGAGGCTGAGGCGGGTGGATCACTTGAGGTCAGGAGCTCAAGACCAGCCTGGCCAATATGGCAAAACCCCATCTCTACTACAAGTACAAAAATTAGCCAGGTGTGGTGGTGCACACCTATAATCCCAGCTATTTAGGAGGCTGAGGCAGAAGAATCGCTTGAACCCAGGAGGTGGAGGTTACAGTGAGCTGAGATTGCACCACTGGATTCCAGTCTGGGCAACAGAGCAAGATTCTGTTTAAAAAAAAAGAAATCCTTGTCTGAGAGGCACTGAGTTGAACAGACTCAATCTCAGTCCAGCAGGGTTGACTGAGTGATTCCGTGACTCAAAAATAAAACAGTATCCTGAGGCTGACAGTGGGGAGGAAGAGGAAGGAGCTACCATTTCTGCCCCTGAGGCTGTGGGGCAGTAAGATTCCTCAGGATGGGTCTGTGAGGCTGGCGGTTTCTCGGTCCACACAGCCAGTCCCGCGGTTTCTTGCACATTCCTTGGCACTTTCACACCCACCAGGCAGTGCTTCTCCACCCACCTGTTCGACCAAGCTCACTGAGGAAAAGCAGCAGGTATCAGCTATTGCTGGACGCCCATCACCACACTCACAAGGCTGGGCACAGAGCAGACGTCAATGGACATGTGTTAAATGGGCCAGCAGATGAGCCCCAGGGATGGGCACTCGGCCCTGAACATGTCCAGTCCTGACCTTGAAGTCCCCCGTTCTAGCTTTCTAGAGGCTTCTCTGAGTGGCCAACAGTTCCTCATAGGGGCCTGACCAAGGTGGCTCTGTGCCCTCTGACCTTGGCTTTGGGTCTCTGCCTCCCAGGGTCCCCTCCTCCTTACCTGGGTTTAACTTTTTCAGAGCATGTCCCCATCCCCAAGGGGAGGCACCGGGGAGTGACCGTTGTCCGGAGCCACCACGGCGTTTTGGTGAGTGCATGGGCAAGAGGGAGGGCCTTAGGGAGGCTGGTGCGAACCCTCGTGGTTGACGCTGGTGTTGAGACCAGTTCCAACTGGCATGCTATTTCCGAGGCTGAGTAGTCTAGCATCTCCCTGGTGCCAGCCCCAGGGATGACTGTAGCTCTGACCACCTATTCTGATACCAGGACTGACCTAGGTATTCCCTGTGACCCAGCACACTCATGCAGGTGTCGGCCTCAGCCTTGACCCCAGCACAGACCCCTACACCTGGTGAGGGGTGGGCCAGCCACTCCTGTGCCCCCTGCCTGGTTGATCCACTGGGTTCTAGAATGGGGGTGAGAATGTGGCTGTAGGTCAGGAACGCAGGGGTGACCTGGTGTTTCCCTACCCTCTCTTCCCTGCCCCAGATATGTATTCAAGTGCTGGCCCGGCGGCCTCACAGCCTCAGCTCAGAACTCACAGGCACCTGTGGCCTCCTGGGCCCTGACCTCCGTCCCCAGGCTCAGGCCAACTTCTTCGACCTTGGTAAGGACTGGACATTCACTGGCCTTGGATAGCTCTAAAGAGATCTCCTTGGTCTCCAAGAAAAGGCACCAGCTCACGGCAAATGCAGCGGGACGCAGGCCCACGGTGGAGCAAGGCAGGGTTGAGGCATCGCATAAAAGGAATCAGGGCAGAACCACATGTGAGCGTGCTCGGGTGAGGACAGAGCCTTTCTGACTCTGAGCTCTTCCACGTATGTTTTTAAAGAAAATCTCCTGGATCCAGATGCACGTGTGGACACTGGAGACTGCTATAGCAACAAAGAAGACAGCTGGGGAGAGGATGCGAACACAGCCAGGCGGCGCCGGGCTCTGGAGAAGGAGGAGGAGGAGGAAGATGAGGAGGAGGAGGAAGATGAGGAGGAGGAAGCTGGTGAGAAGAGCAGATCTGGGTTGCTCTGAGTCTATCAGAGCCAACCCCTAGGCTGGCAGCCTCCAAGGGTGAGGAGTGCCTCAGTCTGAGAGATGGGGAGCAGTGACTGAACTTTACAGGCCTGACCAGTACCAGCTCCACTCACTCTATCTTATAAATGGGGAAACTGAGGCTCAGAGAGTGGTAGTGATGGGAATGGCTCACACAGCAAGCAAAGCCTGACCAGGTTCTAGCTCTGTTTTTGAAGGGGGAGACAAAAGCTTCTCTCTTGGGGCCAGGCATGGTGGCTCACGCCTGTAATCCCAGCACTTTGGGAGGCCGAGGTGGGTGGATCACTTGAGATCAGGAGTTCGAGACCAGCCTGGCCAACATGGTGAAACCCCGACTTTGCTAAAAAATTCAAAAATCAGCCAGGCATGGTGGTGTGCACCTGTAGTCCCAGCTACTTAGGAGGCTGAGGCAGGAGAATTGCTTGAACCCGGTAGGCGGAAGTTGCAGTGAGCCGAGATCCCACCACTACCCTGTAGCCTGGGCAACAGAGTGAAGCGCCATAAAAAAAAAAGCTTCCCTCTTGGGAGGTTCTCCAACTTCTTCCCTGAATTGAACCCTCAGGCCTACAACAGGGGCATGTACCATACACAGGCTGCCCTCACATCCCATGCCCATTCCTGACCTGTTTGTCTTGGCCAGGCACCGAGATTGCCATCATCCTGGATGGCTCAGGAAGCATTGATCCCCCAGACTTTCAGAGAGCCAAAGACTTCATCTCCAACATGATGAGGAACTTCTATGAAAAGTGTTTTGAGGTGGGCTTTCCTAAGAGCTGGTTATCACTTATCTATTGCTGAGAATCACCCTACCTCAGAACAACAATCACCACATTTGCTTACAATTCTACGGGTCAGATACTTGGGCTGGGCTCAGCTGGATGGTTCTTCTGTCCATCTTGCCTGGAGTTACCCTGGAGCTGCAGGCATCTGGTTGCTTGACTGGGGCTGGATGGCCTAAGATGACCTCACTCACTTGTCTGGACCATGTGTCTTTAGCAGGCCAGCCCAAATTTTTCATGGCAGCAACATTCTAAGAGGGCCAGATCCAATGCATGCAAGTATTTTTCAAGTCTCTAATTATATCACATTTGCTGATGCCTCATTGGCCAAAGCCAGTTACATGGCCAATCGCATTGTCAGTATGGAGGGGACTACATAGGGAGCTAGGGAGAAGTCTGTGATTCATTGGGGGCTATTACTATCGCACCCTTCTCCACCCCCACTTGCTTAGAGGTTTTGCTCTGCCTTAGCATCTTTCTGCCCAGGGATAAGGTAGAAGGAGTGGATTTTTCTGCTGCTTCCAGGGGGAGCCATTTCAGGGGCAGAGGTGGCAATTCTTCCAACCTCCTGCCCTCTTCCCCATCCCCTGCAGTGCAACTTTGCCCTGGTGCAGTACGGAGGAGTGATCCAGACTGAGTTTGACCTTCGGGACAGTCAGGATGTGATGGCCTCCCTTGCCAAAGTCCAGAATATCACTCAAGTGGGGAGTGTCACCAAGACTGCCTCAGCCATGCAACATGTCTTGTGAGTATGGGGGCTGCAGGAATTATTCTGGCCACGCCCAGAGTCTCTGTGGCATCATACTTGGAGGAAGTGGCTGGACAGAACTGGAGAAGAGAATTAGGGTTCCAGCCTTTCCCTGGCTGAGAGAACATGAGGGATGATACCTCAAGACTGTCTTCCAAAAAGTCTTCCAAAGACTTCCTCTTGTGAGAGGCAGGAGAGCAGAGTGCTCGGTGGACAGGCTGGCTGGGTTCAGATCTCAGCTCTGGTTTGTATCTGTGTGACCTCGGGCAAACTGAAGGACCTTGTGACCTGGGCTTCAGTTTCCTCACTTTAAAAATGAGAAAAATAGGCTGAGCGTGGCAGCTCACACTTGTAATCCCAGCCCTTTGGGAGGCCAAGGCAGGTGGATCACCTGAGGTCAGGAGTTTGAGACCAGCCTGGCCAACATGGTGAAACTCTGTCTCTACTAAAAATACAAAGGGTGTGGTGGCAGGTGCCTGTAATCCCAGCTACTTGGGAGGCTGAGGCAGGAGAAACGCTTGAACTCGGGAGGCAGAGGTTGCAGTGAGTTGAGATGGTGCCACTGCACTCCAGCCCGAGCGACAGAGTGAGACTCTATCTCTCTAAATAAAATAATAATAATAAAATAAATAAATAAAATGAGAATAATAATAGTACTCACAGCTTGGAGCAGTGGCTTGTGCCTATAGTTCCAGCTACTCAGGAAGCTGAGGCAGGAGGACTGCTTGAGCCCAGGAGTCTAAGGATGCAGTGAGTCATGATCACACCACTGTACTCCAGTCTGGGTGACAGAGTGAGGTGCTGTCTCTAAAAAAGAAAGAAAAATAATAGCACTTACCTGGTAGATTTTGTGGCAGTTGGATGGGTTAACATATACAGTGTTGGCCGGACATTGTGGCTGACGCCTGTAATCCCAGCACTTTGGGAGGCCGAGGCGGGTGGATCACGAGGTCAGGAGATCAAGACCATCCTGGCTAACACGGTGAAACCCCCATCTCTACTAAAAATACAAAAAAATTAGCCGGGCGTGGTGGCGGGCGCCTGTAGTCCCAGCTACTCGGGAGGCTGAGGCAGGAGAATGGCATGAACCCGGGAGGCGGAGCTTGCAGCAGCTTGGGAGGCAGTGTGGCTTGTGCTCAGTTCCAGCTACTCAGGTGGTTGAGGCAGGAGGACTGCTTGAGCCCAGGAGTCTAAGGATGCAGTGAGTCATGACTGTTCACTACCCAGTCTGGGTGACAGAGTGAGATGCTGTTCCTAAAAAGAAAGAAAATAATAGCACTTACTCTGGTAGATTTTAGGTGAGTTGGATGGGTTAACATATACAGTGCTGCTGGACGCCGTGCTGACGCCTGTAATCCCAGCACTTTGGGAGGCCGAAGTGGTGGATCAGCGAGGTCAGGAGATCAAGACCATCCTGGCTAACACGGTGAAACCCCATCTCTACTAAAAATACAAAAAAATTAGCTGGGCGTGGTGGTGGCGCCTGTGGGGTCCCAAGTCACTCAGGAAGCTGAGGCAGAGAGAATGGCATGAACCCAGGAGGCGTGGAGCTGCAGTGAGCCGAGAGATGGCACCACTGCACCACAGCCTGGCGAAAAGTGAGACCCCCAAAATCAAAAAAAAAAAAAAAAAAGTGTGTGTGTATATATATATATATATACACATATAGTGTTTATAACAGTGCCTGGCACATGATAAACGCCATGTGAGTATTATCTATCATTTTAATGTCATTACTCTTCCTGTATGCACACAAAAGGAATAGACTGCCAGCCAGCACCTTTCTGCTGGGAGCAGGTGAGAAGCAAGAACACCTGTGTTGCAGCCCTCCCTCTGCCTAGCCTCGCTGTGTGACTTAAGGGGGCATCACCCCCTTCTTTGGGTCTTTTGGGAGGATTGTGAACCCTCCCAATTCTAATACAGGTCAGAGAATAAAGTCTGTCCTGGAGTCGGTCATGTCTCTGGCAAAGCTCTCTTCTTCCTTTACTCTCCCCTGCTCAGAGACAACATCTTCACCTCAAGCCACGGCTCCAGAAGAAAGGCATCCAAGGTCATGGTGGTGCTCACCGATGGTGGCATATTCGAGGACCCCCTCGACCTTACGACAGTCATCAACTCCCCTAAAATGCATGGTGTTGAGCGCTTTGCCATTGGGGTAAGAGCCAGGAGCCGGGAGGCCCCTTCTGACCCTACTCAGCCTGGGGTGGGGAGGAGCCAGGGTTGCTGATGGGGGCTTTTCTGTAAGCAGCTAATCCAGACCCTGTTCTATTCTCCAACACTTCCCTTCTCCCCATGCCCTGTCATCCCAGAGAGGGTTCATTTCCCCATGGTGGTCACAGCTTCCTGGCCAAATAGTGACGGGAGAGCCCACAGGAAACACACCAAGGAAGGTTCCTGGAGGACCGTGGTGCCAAGCTGAGTCCTGCCAGACAAACGGGAGTAGCTGCTTAGGGCACAGGGGAGGCAGAGAGGGGCCCCACAGGCAGAGGGAACGGGAGTAGCTGGCCTAGGGCACAGGGGAGGCAGAGAGGGCCCCACAGGCAGAGGGAACAGCATGTGCAGAGGTGAGGAGGGGCTCGGTGTGTTCAGGAGAACAGGTGTACTTTGGTAGAACTGGAATTTTGCCCAGAGTGTGTGTAGAACAGGGAGCAGGGAAAGGAGAAAGGAAGAAAGGAGACAGGTAATGGAGGGCCCCAGAGGCCAGGGGGAGGGGCTCAGCTCTCTCCCTGGGTCTGGGGAATCCTCCCGGCGCTGACTCACTGACCCAGGCCCCCTGTGCAGGTGGGAGAAGAATTTAAGAGTGCTAGGACTGAGAGGGAACTCAACCTGATCGCCTCAGACCCGGATGAGACCCACGCTTTCAAGGTCACTAACTACATGGCGCTGGATGGGCTGCTGAGCAAACTGCGGTACAACATCATCAGCATGGAAGGTGAGGGCTCCGGGACCCACACCACCGCAGGAGACCCCAGCCTGTGCTCCAGCCCCGCCTCTGTCCCATCTTCATGTGGTTTCTCTGAGCAACTCCCATCGTCTCTCTGATCCTCAGCTGTTCCATGTCTAAAAAGGCAATGGCCAGGTGTGGTGGCTCACGCCTGGAATCCCAATACTTTGGGAGACAGAGGCAGGTGGATCGCTTGAGGCCAGGAGTTCGAGACCCGCCTGGGCAACATGGCGAAACCCTGTCTCTACTAAAACAAAAATTAGCTGGGGCCGGGTGTGGTGGCTCATGCCCGTAATCCCAACACTCTGGGAGGCCAAGGCCGGTGGATCACCTGAGGTCTGGAGTTCAAGACCAGCCTGGCCAACATGGTGAAATCCTGTTTCTGCTAAAAATACAAAACAATTTAGCCGGCTGTGGTGGTGCACGTCTGTGATCCCAGCTCCTCAGGAGCCTGAGGCAGAAGAATCACTTGAGCTTAGGAGGCGGAGGTTGCAGTGAGCCAAGATTGCCTCACTGCACTCCAGGATGGGTGACAGAGCAAGGCTCCGTCTCAAAAAAAAAAAAAAAAAATTAGCCAGGCGTGGTGGTGTATGACCTGTATTCCCAGCTACTTGGGAAGCTAAGGCAACAGGTCACTTGAGCTTGGGAGGCGCAGGTTGCAGTGAGCTGATATTGAGCCACTGCACTCCAGCCTGAGCGACAGAGGGAGACACTGTCTCAAAAAAAAAAAAAGGAAGAAGAAGAAGGCAACAATATCTCCAGCTTCCTTGCGTCCCGGAATCTCCATGAAGTTCTCATGAACTGAGCTGGTGCTGGAGAAACAAGGATGACTGGAGCGTAGTCCCTTCTCCCAGGAGCTCCCAGACGAGGAAACTGAGGCCTAGAAAGAGTGAACTGCCCAGACAGTAGTTGCTCAAGGAGAACCTGGGTCTCTACCTTCAACCGGGTGCTCTTCCTGTTACACCAATCATGGTTCCCTGAGGCCAAGCTGGACTGTCCCCTGCCTCAGTTTCTCCCTTCACCGCGGCCCACAGCAGTCTCACTGGGCTTCTTGGCTTGCAGGTGCGGTTGGCGACGCCCTTCACTACCAGCTGGCACAGATCGGCTTCAGTGCTCAGATCCTGGATGAGGTATGTGGCTGACTCAGCACCAGGCAGGCTCGCCCGTTGGGAAGGGGCCCAGAACACCTAGGATTCAGGGACTCCTGCCTCCCATCCAGGGCTCTGCTCTCCCTGTGATGATTCCTCTAAAAGAGCCATTTTATTTTACTTATTTATTTATTTTGAGACGGAGTCTTGCTCTGTCGCCCAGGCTGGAGTGCAGCGGTGTAATCTCGGCTCACTGCAACCTCCGCCTCCCGGGTTCAAGTGATTCTCCTGCCTCAGCCTCCCGTGTAGCTGGGATTACAGGCACGTGCCACCACGCCCGGCTAATTTTTGTATTTTTAGTAGAGACGGGATTTCACCATGTTGGCCAGGCTGGTCTCGAACTCCTGACCTCAGGTGATCCACCCGCCTCGGCCTCCCAAAGTGCTGGGATGACAGGTCTGAACCACAGCGCCCGGCCTGAAAGAGCCGTTTTAGGATAAAGGGAAACATTTCTGCCTGCTCACCTTAGTCTGGACCACTGAGATAGACAGAAGTGTGGCCATATTGATGACAGGAGGTGGCTTTTTTCTGTGTGCTCAAACATCCAGTTGCTCCCCTGAATACAGACCAGTCAGCAGGATTCGGCCTGGGTCAGCCTACCAACCAAGCTGCTCGCTTCTCCTCGCCTGGGTCAGCTCTACCAACCAAGCTGCCTCTCGCTTTCTCCTGGAGGCGGGAGTGCAGGGGCACGAGGCAGGAGCCCAGGGTTGGCCATCTCACCTTCGCACCTGCATCTCTGGCCAGGCGGGCACTAGGTTGCCCGAACGCCCCTTCTCCCAGCCAGGCTAGCCGCATGGCCTGAGACCCGCTGCCACTGCCCGCCCTGGGTCCCCCCCACTATCTGGCTCCATCCTCGTCCCTTCAGCGGCAGGTGCTGCTCGGCACAAGCCGGGCCTGACTGGTCCGGGAGGCGCTGGGCTGCCGACAACAGCACGCAGCCGCCGGGGCCGCCCTGAACCACAGACTGCGGCGGCGGCGGACGGGAGGCTACGTAGTACAGCTACCTGGGTGGAGGGGCGGGGCCTGGGGGCTACCTGGGTGAGGGCGGGGCCTGGGGGCTACCTGGGTGAGGGCGGGGCCTGGGGGCTACCTGGGTGAGGGCGGGGCCTGGAGGCTACCTGGGCGAGGGCGGGGCCTACCTGGGCGAGGGTGGGGCCTGGAGGCTACCTGAGTGAGGGCAGGGCCTGGGGGCTACCTGGGAGAGGGCGGGGCCTGGGGGCTACCTGGGAGAGGGCGGGGCCCAGATGGGGACACCCAGACTGCGCATTGGGCTGTACTTGAGGTTTCCAAATGGGGATGAGACCTGGTCGGTCACATGGGCCGAGGGGCGGACCCTGGTTAGGGACCCTGAGGCTGAGAATTACCGCCTCCTGGATAGGGACAGGGCCTGTCAGGTACACCAGGCAGAGCAGCCGCCCACAGGAAGGCGGGGCCTCTCCATTAATAATAGTGGTGCAGTAGCTCACGCCTGTAATCCCAGGAGGCCGAGGCGGGCGGATCACCTGAGGTCTGGAGTTCGAGACCAGCCTGGCCAACATGGCAAAACTCTGTCTCTACTAAAAATACAAAAATTAGCTGGGGGTGGTGGTGGACGCCTGTAGTCCCACGTACTCAGAAGTCTGAGGCACAAGAATCTCTTGAACCTGGGAGGTGGAGGTTGCAATGAGCTAAGATTGTGCCACTGCACTCCAGCATGGGTTATAGACTGAGACTCTGTCTCAAAAATAAATCAATAAACAAAAATAATAATAGTGGTGGGCAATCCTCTCACGCCTCTTCTCGGTCCTCCTAGGGTATGTGTGTGAGCGTGGGTAGTAGATGTGTGCGAATGAGTGTTTTGAGCAAAGCTGCATACGTGACAGTGTGTGCATCACTTCTGTTGATGGGGATGTGTGTGACTAGCAAAGGGAGAGTGTTCGCTGATGCCGATTTTTAATATAGTGAGAAAGACAGTCTCTCCTAGTTTGCCCCCCTCCCCAGGCCACTTTGAAGGCCTGACTGGGAAGGTGCTGGGGCCAAAAGAGAGGCCAGGTGGGAGCACACGGTGTGTTCACAGCCATCCCACCCTTGCCCCAGGTTACGCTGTGGCCGTGCTACACAAGACCTGCAGCGTCTCCTACGTCGCAGGGGCTCCGCGGTACAAACATTGTGGGGCCGTGTTTGAGCTCCAGAAGGAGGGCACAGAGACCAGCTTCCTGCCAGTGCTAGAGGGAGAGCAGGTACCCGCTGGGGAAAGCTTCCACCCCTTTTGACGGATGGGGAATCTGGAGGCCCCAAGGGAAAGGGGTGGGTCCCAGGGTGCATAGTGGGCCAGGGCCCAGGCTGGGTAAAACTCAGGCTCCTGAGTGGAGCTCAAGGGCTCTGCCTCGGCTCTGCATATCTGATTGCTACACAGTTTCCTCCGCTGTGGGGCCTGGGCTGCTCCTCCGCTCTCCTGGTACTCTCAGTGAGCAAATTGATATGTAAGGACCCAAACCGGGTGGTCCAGGAAGCACGTGGGCAGGGTGTAGCCTTGCTGAGGGGTGGAGGAGCGGGGCTCCTGGTGAGCTGAGTTCCTCCTGGGCTGTAGATGGGGTCCTATTTTGGCTCTGAGCTGTGCCCTGTGGACATTGACATGGATGGAACCACGGACTTCTTGCTGGTGGCTGCTCCATTCTACCATGTTCATGGAGAAGAAGGCAGAGTCTACGTGTACCGTCTCAGCGAGCAGGTGGGAGAGTCTCCATCTTCATGAGCTTGATGAGGCTGTGGCACTCAGCCTGGCACAGAGGTGATGGAGGCTGGGAGTGCCCTGGCTCTGCCTGGCACCAGTGGGCAGTGATGGGGAGGTGCTCAGGCTGGATGGCGGCTGGGCAGGGCAGCGGCATCTCTCTCCGCACCCACTTTCTCACCCAAGGGCAGTCGTTGATGATAATATCTCTAATATCTCTTTTCGTTGTTGTTGTTGTTTTTGAGACAGAGTTTTGCTCTTGTTGCCCAGGCTGGAGTGCAATGGCGTGATCTCGGCTCACCACAACCTCTGCCTCTGGGGTTCAAGCGATTCTCCTGCCTCAGCCTCCCGAGTAGCTGGGATTACAGGCATGCACCACCATGCCTGGCTGGCTAATTTTGTATTTTTAGTACAGGCAGGGTTTCTCCATGTTGGTCAGGCTGGTCTTGAACTCTCGACCTCAGGTGATCCACCCACCTCGGCCTCCCAAAGTGTTGGGATTACAGGCATGAGCCACCGCGCCCAGCATTTTTTTTTTTTTTTCCGGAGACTGAGTCTCACCCTGTTGTCCAGGCTGGAGTGCAGTGGTGCAATCTCAGCTCACTGCAACCTCCACCTCCTGGGTTCAAGTGATTCTCCTGCCTCAGCCTCCCAAGTAGCTGGGAATACAGGCACCCGCCACCACATCCAGCTAATTTTTGTATTTTTAGTAGAGATAGGATTTTGCCATGTTAGCCAGGCTGGTCTCAAACTCCTGACCTCAGGTGATCCACCTACCTCGGCCTCCCAAAGTGATGGGATTACAGGCCTGAGTCACTGCGTCCAGCCGATAACATTTCTTACAGCTGTATGGGTGGCAAAGCCCATTTAGTCCAGGATCTCATTTGTTTCTCACAGCAACTATGGGAGGTAGCTGCCACTCTTATCTTACGGATGAGGAAGCTGGGGCTCGGTGAGCCTCAGTGATGCCGAGACTTGCTCAAGTGTACCTAGCATGTATGTGGCAGAGCCACGAGTGAAACCCAGGCCTCCCATTTGCAGCAATGCACCCCTGCCCATGGAAGTAGAGGGGGGCAGGCTCTGAGTCCTGAACTTCAAGGTGGGAGGACCCCAGCTTCCCCTTCGTGCTGTGTAATCTTGGGAAAGTCCCTGGCCTTTTCTGGGGCTCAGGCTCCCTGCTGGAGAATCAGAATCCACCAGCCCAGTGAGCGTGCATCCTGGGTGGCAATGGAGTGGGCACCTAGCGCCCCTTCTTGGGGGCTGAGCTGTTTGCTTGCTTTACAGGATGGTTCCTTCTCCTTGGCACGCATACTGAGTGGGCACCCCGGGTTCGCCAGTGCCCGCTTTGGCTTTGCCATGGCGGCTGTGGGGGATATCAGTCAGGATAAGTTCACAGATGTGGCCATCGGGGCCCCCCTGGAAGGTTTCGGGGCAGGTGATGGTGCCAGCTTCGGCAGTGTGTATATCTACAATGGACACTGGGACGGCCTCTCCGCCAGCCCCTCGCAGGTGACCCATGGGGCCCTCTCCTTCCTCTCCTCTGGGGCTCTGACCTCTCCCAGATATGATGACCAAGCCCCAGTCGACTTCAGTCCTAAGTGCTGGGCAGGTCTCAGGGGGCTGGGAGTGCCCAGTGAAAGAAAGAAGTCCCTCAGGCTGGTGGGAGGTTCCAGATCAGGGCCTCACCTCAGCCCCTTCAGGTTGAGGGGAGGTTGTGGCGGTACCTGTCTCCTTCCCTGGCCTATACCCTCTTCTTCCACCCACCTGCCTCGGGTCCCTGCTTCCTCTCTTTCTGTCCCTCACTCCTGTCTCCCACCCAGCCACCTCCCTGCCTTATCTCTCATTCCCCAGGGCTCCCTCGCCAGCCTCTCACACTGCATGTGTTACGGGCACTTTCACCCACCTGCAGCTCCTCCTGAGAACCTCCACCTGGATGGCCCCAGGCATCTCACTCCCGTGTGGCCCATCTGAGAGCACCTGCTCCCCCAGACCTGATGCTCCTCTGAGACCTCATCCCCCTCCACCCCCAACACCAGAAACCTCAGATGGTCCCCAGCATGCTCACAGCCTGCACAGCCCGTCAGTTCTCACGTCCTCAGGATTCTAGCTGTTTCCCAAGTCCAGCCCCTTCTCTCCATCCCCACCGCTGCAGTCCCAGTTCAGGCCTTGCCATCCCTCTCCCAGCCCACCCAGCTTCCTCCTCCCCTCCATCTTCCACCCCATATCTTCAGTGCCATTTCTAAAGTATTATCCTGATTATGTCACTTCAAAAAAACAGAACCTTTGTTGACACCCCCACCCCCAAGCCCCACATCAAGCTTCCTTGTATCCCGATCCCCTGCGGTCCACCCCGTCCGTGGCCCTGGCTGCTTCTCAGAGGGTCCTGCTCTTTCCCCATGCCTCACTCTTTCCCTTACTCTCCCCTGTCAAGTCCCACCTGCACTTTGAGGCTCTACCCAAATGCCACTTCCTCTGGGAAAGCTTGCCCCCTCTTTCCTGGCTCTAGACTGGGGGCTCCCTGGGGCTGGATGGCGCCTGCAGTGTTGGTTGGTACAGAACATGAAAGAGCTCCCTGCTCCATTTCCCTCCCTTCCCTCACCCCACGCCTTGTGTTTCTGCCTCCACAGCGGATCAGCGCCTCCGCGGTAGCCCCAGGACTCCAGTACTTTGGCATGTCCGTGGCTGGTGGGTTTGACATCAGTGGCGACGGCCTTGCCGACATCACCGTGGGCACTCTGGGCCGGGCGGTTGTGTTCCGGTAGGCCTCTGTCCTGCTTTCTGGGGTCCCAGGCCCAGCCTCACCCATTTGTCCTGCTCTAAATAGCTCGATGCAGACATTAGGCACCGAGGGAGGGAGCCAGCACTGTGGTTGCGGGCACAGGCTCTGGAGTCTGCCCGTCTGGGTTTGAACCTCGGCTCTCAGCCCTTTCAGTGTGCCCTTGGGCAGGTTATTTAATTCTAAAATCTTACATAGGAATTATAAGATCACTACCTCCCAGAGCTAAGAGGATCATGCAAGTGAATATATGCAAAGTCTTTAGCACAGTGCTCAGCGATGGCTATGATTATTCAGAATTGCAGAGGTTTTTTTGTTTGTTTTGGTTTGGTTTTCTTGAGAGGGAGTCTTGCTGTGTTGCCCAGGCTGAAGTGCAGTGGTACAATCTCGGCTCACTGCAACCTTTGCCTCCCGGGTTCAAGCAATTCTCTGCCTCCGCCTCCCGAGTAGCTGGGATTACAGGCCACCACGCCTGGCTAATTTTTGTATCTTTAGTAGAGACGGGGTTTCACCATGTTGGCCAGGCTGGTCTTGAACTCCTGACTTCATGATCCACCCACCTCTGCCTCCCAAAGTGCTGGATTTACAGGCATGAGCCACTGCACCTGGCCAAGAATTGCAGAGTTTTTGTGCCCCATCCCTCAGTAAATGATCAAGTCCTGTGGCTGTAAATGAGCCCATGGAGCACCCGTCTGTCCCATCCTCTCCACCAAGCCGCAGACTTGCTCTCTACTCAGCACCTCGCTGGGCTGCCGCTCACGGTCATCCCGAAGTGAACACGTCTAAAAACAAAGCTCTTGTTTCCCCCCACCCTTCGTTCCCCCAAATCTGTCCTGCCCTCAGGCTTTCTGTTTCAGCAAATGGCACCATCATCCACCCAGAAAATCAGGATGAAAACCTAGGCGTCATCCTTGGTGCCCCTTTTTCCTTCCTCTCCACAACATCAACACGTCTTAGTTGGCTCTGCCTCCAAACCGCCTCCCAGCACAGGCACGGTCTTCACTTCCCGGACACTGCCATGGCAGCCTTCCCTGCTTCCAGCCCCTGCACTCCATTCTCCACGCAGCAGCAGCCCGATCCCTTCCCTCTGATGCCTGAAACCCCTCCACAGCTCCTATTTAGAGTAAAATTCCAATTCCTTACCATGGCTTTACACGGCTCTTTGTGGCCTGGCCATCCTCGCCCCTCCATTCCCATCTCCTCCTCGCATCCTCTGTCTCACTAATTAGGCTCCAGGCACACTGACCTTTGTGCTCCTCAAACAAACCAAAAGTGTTCCTGCCGCAGGCCCGTGGCACTGGCTGTGCTTTCTTCCTGGTGTGCCCTTCCCCAGATCTTTCTTGTTAACAAATCTCAACGGAAATGCCTCCGCATCAGCCATGCCATCTCTGACCACCAGTCTCAGTAGCCCTCAGTCCTTATTACAGTATTTTTTTTTTGAGACAGAGTCTCACTCTGTCGCCCAGGCTAGAGTGCCGTGGCATGATCTCGGCTCACTGCAACTTCCGCCTCCCAGGTTCAAGCGATTCTCCTGCCTCAGCTTCCTGAGTAGCTGGGATTACAGGCACCCTCCACCACACCCAGCTCATTTTTGAATTTTTAGTAGAGACGGGGTTTCACCATGTTGGCCAGGCTGGTCTCGAACTCCTGACCTCAGGTGATCCGCCCGCCTCAGCCTCCCAAAGTGCTGGGATGACAGGCGTGAGCCACTGTGCTCGGCCAACAGTATTTTAATTTTTAGCATACCCTTGCCAATACATAGTATTTCCCTGTTTCCCTCATTTATTTGCTTGTTGTCTGCTTTCCCACGAAAGCAGAAACTCGTCTCTTTCCCTTGTACCCTGAGACTCAGGGCAGCACCTGGATGTGGGCATGTTTGATAGAGACCCACTGAATGCATGAACCAATCAGCCAGGCCCTGACCCAGAAGCCGGGCAGTCACTTCTCCCATCCTCTTTGCTGTCTTGTTTAGCTCCCGGCCTGTGGTTCGCCTGGAGGTCTCCATGGCCTTCACCCCCAGCGCGCTGCCCATCGGCTTCAACGGCGTCGTGAATGTCCGTTTATGTTTTGAAATCAGCTCTGTGACCACAGTCTCTGCGTCAGGTAAAACGTGGTCCAGCTGACTCCTGCCTGGTGTCATGCTCCTTCCTTTTTGGCTTCTGTAAGGGGAAGGGAAAAAGTACTGGGATGGGGGGGTGTTGGTCTGAGGTCCTGGTGCTTGAAATCCCTCAATTAGAGCTTAGCTCCTTTGTCTCCAGGCTCTGTTAAATGCAAACTGCCTTAAGAAAGGGCGGTCTGAGGTTATATCCACACTCGGACGGGGTTCAGAGCTGACACTGTTGGGAAGAGGGACGTTGGAGCCCTTCCTCAGGGTTGAAGGGTTCAGTTTCTGAAAAGAAGACTCAGAAAAAGGCAGCCAGTTCTCCATGCCCACGTGTGTGCGTGTGTGCAGGGGCTCCTGAGACGCACCCTCCTCTTTCTCTCTGACTTGTGTCTTCTCCCCTTCCCTCCTCACTGTGTGCCTCTGGCCCAGGTGGGATGGGATCACCTGTTGGAGGTCCGGTTTCTCTTTCCTTACCTGAAACTCATTAGGAGACTGTTTCCAGAAAGGAGGTGGCGGGTACGGCTTTCACAGCCCAGGTATTTACGGTCCACCCAAGAGCTTCCCCCAGAACGATTCCTCAGCAACAGTCCCCGAGGTTTAACCTCCCAGGAGCAATCTCTGAGATGGTCTCTGCCTCCCACCGGGCGGAGAGCAGCCTCCTGGGGTGAGGTGGCCTTCCCAAAGCAGAGGGCTATTATCCCAGCTGGGGGTTGAAAATGACAGGCCTGTCCCTTCCAGGACACAGAGCTCGCTGGGCTGTGCGATGCTGGGCAAGTGTCTTTCCTTAGCTGAGCCAGTTCTGTTCTGAACAGTAAGAGAGGCGGCCGCAGAATCTCCACGGTGCTTCCAGCTCTGCCGTCCTGGGGTTCTCCTCCATCGTTTCCCTCTTTCCCTCTCCATTCTCTTCATTGTCTCTCTTCCTCCTTATTTTCTTCGTCAATCTCCACCCGCTTCCCGAGCCCTCCTTCCCCTAAGGAAGGCTGACTCAGTCCTGGGAACGTGCTGCTGCAGGCTTGGGGCTGGAGCACTCAGAGGCCCTGGTCAGGTGTCAGCAGACAGTGAGAGAATATCTTTGAAAAAGCGACGCAGGAGTCCAGCCCCAGGGAAGTACCTGCATGGGGACACTGTTCAGGAGGGGCTGCAAGGAACCTCAGGCAGGCTGGGGGCCTTCTGTCTGCGGCCGGCTCATCCCCACCTCACCGGGAAGGTCTGGTCTTCATTCCCAGGTCTCCGCGGGGCGTTTCTCAACTTCACGCTGGACGTAGATGTGGGGAAGGAGAGGAAAAGGCTGCAGTGTTCAGACGGGAGAAGCTGTCTGGGCTGCCTGAGGGAGTGGAGCAGCGGGTCCCGTCTTTGTGAGGACCTCCTGCTCGTGCCCACAGAGGGAGAGGTAAGTGGGGAGGTTTGGATGGGAGTCCGGAGGGGTCTGTGTCATTGAGAAAGGATTTGAGGTAACACAGTGAAGGGCACATACCCATCCCTACAAATGAGGTGATTGAAATAATCATAACAGGCCAGGCGCGGTGGCTCACACCTGTAATCTCAGCACTTTGGGAGGCCGAAGTGGGCAGATCACTTGAGGTCGGGAGTTCCAGACCAGCCCAGCCAACACGGTGAAACCCAGTCTCCACTAAAAACACAAAAATTAGCCGGGCATGGTGGCACGTGCCTGTAATCCCAGCTACTTGGGAGGCTAAGGCAGGAGAATCACTTGAATCCGGGAGGTGGAGGTTGCAGTGAGCCAAAACCATGCCACTGCACTCTAGCCTGGGCAACAAGAGCAAAACTCCATCTCAAAATAATTATAATAATAATAATAAATCAAGAACCACATAATGGCATGGAAGATGGAGATGCTGTCATTGCTGACGTTTTTCTTGGTAATAACTCAGGAATACCAGGTGTTTTTGGCATCCGTTATCCAACCTCACCTGATAATAACTAGGACGGAGGGCCTGAATGTCAACTGGCATCAGAAAAAGTGAACAACTAAAAGGAAGAAATAAAAAGATAGAAATGACCATCTAGAAAGGTTTACTCCTGGCAAAGGTGCCCAGAGATGTGGGAAGAAAAAAAAAAAAAAATAGCATGTCGGGATTCAAAGCCTGACAGGATCTAGAACTTTGGATCTATCTGGATCGTGTGTTCCAATAAACAAACGCATGAATTATTCTTCTGAATACACATTTACCCCCAAAGTGATTATTAATTGGATTAAGAAAGTTTCTAGCAAGTCTACAGCCTTCCTTAAATAAAGGCTTAATCACATCCTCTACGAGACAATCATGCTCACTTACTCCCATGGCCTCAAGGCTCTTATGGTGGCAGAAAAGCTCATTTAAACAAAGACAGTGGCGGCCGGGCGCGGTGGCTCAAGCCTGTAATCCCAGCACTTTGGGAGGCCGAGACGGGCGGATCACGAGGTCAGGAGATCGAGACCATCCTGGCTAACACGGTGAAACCCCGTCTCTACTAAAACATACAAAAAAAACTAGCCGGGTGAGATGGCGGGCGCCTGTAGTCCCAGCTACTCGGGAGGCTGAGGCAGGAGAATGGCGTAAACCCGGGAGGCGGAGCTTGCAGTGAGCTGAGATCCGGCCACTGCACTCCAGCCTGGGCGACAGAGCAAGACTCCGTCTCAAAAAAAAACAAAGACAGTGGCAAATGGTAGGCTAAGCAATCTCCTTATCTTCTCTCTTACCTCTCTAATATGTCCTCCATGTTGCTTGGAGAAAGATTTTGGTCGGCTGGGCGCGGTGGTTCACGCCTCTAATCCCAGCACTTTGGGAGGCTGAGGTGGGCGGATCACCTGAAGTCAGGAGTTTGAGACCAGCCTGACCAATGTGTTAAAACCCTGTGTCTACTAAAAAAACAAAAAACAAAGCAAAACAAAAAAATTAGCCAGGTATGGTGGCATGCACCTGTAGTCCCAGGTACTTGGGAGACTGAGGCAGGAGAACCTTGAACCTAAGAGGCAGAGGTTGCAGTGAGCTGAGATCGAGCCACTGCACTCCAGCCTGGGCGACAGAGCAAGACTCCGTCTTAAAGAAAAAACAAAAAAAAAAACAAAGAGAAAGATCTTGATAAACACAAGTGTGGCTGTGACTCTTTCCTTCTGTCTGAGCCAGTTCTTTACCCCTTTGTGATTGGGGCAAGAACCACAGGAGCTATGAGACACAAAACCATAGTAGAACGAAGGAGATTTTCCCAAAGCACTTGGCAGCTTGCTTGAAGGACATGTCCCTTCAGCCTGACTTACTTGGAAGATGCTTAGGACCTCTGACTCACCACTTTTATTGTTTATTTCTTCTTATGACAACATCAAAGTAGAAAGTATTCTTGCCAGGCGCGGTGGCTCACATTTGGAATCCCAGCGCTTTGGGAGGCAGAGGTGGGTGGATTTCTTGAGCCCAGGTGGTTGAGGCTGCAGTGGGCCATGATGATGCTGCTGCACTCCAGACTGGGTGACAGAGTGAGTGAGACCTTATCCAAAAAAAAAAAAAAAAAAATGACGGACGGGCGTGGTCGCTTACGCCTATAATCCCAGCACTATGGGAGGTCGAGGCCGGCGGATCACCTGAGGTCAGGAGTTCGAGACCAGCCTGGCCAACATGGTGAAACCCTGTCTCTGCTAAAAATACAAAAATTAGCTGGGTGTGGTGGCGGCGCCTGTAATCCCAGCTACTCGAGAGGCTGAGACAGGAGAATCACTTGAACCTGGGAGGCGGAGGTTGCAGTGAGCCAAGATCGCGCCACTGCACTCCGGCCTGGGTGACACAGCAAGACTCCGTCTCAAAAAAAAAAAAAGAAAAGCATTCTTGTTGTCATCTTCTCCCCCACATCGAACTCTAACCCTGCGTTTCATGGTGACCCCACAGCTGCATGAGGAGGACTGCTTCTCCAATGCCACTGTCAAGGTCGGCTACCAGCTCCAGACCCCTGAGGGACAGACAGACCATCCCCAGCCCATCCTGGACCACTATGCTGAGACCTTTGCCGTCTTCCAGGTGACTACCCACAGCCAGTACCCAGCCCTCTTGAGAGCCCATCCCACAGAAACCACCTGCTCCCCTAACTTCCAAGAATGTTGGAATTGGGAGGGAATGTCTTCAGACAGCATTTGGGCCCCTCACTGTACACATGGTGAAACTGAGTCCCTACAGTGGTGTTAGTGTGTACCCATGAGTGAGGACTCATGGGCAACGCAGGGCTCCGTCTGCCCCTGGTGTTTGTTCCTTTATGTTCACAAAAGCGCTTGACATATGTATGTGTGTGTGTGTGTGTGTGTATATATATATATATTTTTTTTTTTTTGAGACGGAGTCTCGCTCTGTCACCCAGGCTGGAGTGCAGTGGTGCGATCTCAGCTTACTGCAAGCTCCGTCTCTTGGGTTCACGCCATTCTCCTGCCTCAGCCTCCCGAGTAGCTGGGACTACAGGTGCCCGCCACCACGCCTGGCTAATTTTTTTGTATTTTCAGTAGAGACGGGGTTTCACCGTGTTAGCCAGGATGGTCTCGATCTGCTGACCTCGTGATCCACCTGCCTCCGCCTCCCAAAGTGCTGGGATTACAGGCGTGAGCCGCTGCGCCATGCCACCGCTTGCTACATATTTAATAAAGCACATGCATCCTGGGGACCTCACGTGGCAAGCGGCTCTGATGGCGCTGTGGTGGGGGTCCCTTGTGGGAGCTAGACCAGAGCTGTCCTGTCTTGCACTGCAGAGAGGATGCCCTTTGGCGCACCTGCCTGTTCACGCCCTGCCAGGGCCTTCAGGCTGAATGGCCCCACTAAACCTGTACCCTAGCCTCTCCTCCTGGTGCCCATCAGTGCAGCTGAGACAGGCGGGTAGTGTCATAAGAAGCTTTTGCCGGCCGGGCACCCTGGCTGACGCCTGTAATCCCAGCACTTTGGGAGGCCGAGGAGGGTGGATCACCTGAGGTCAGGAGTTCGAGACCAGCCTGGCTAACATGGTGAAACCCCGTCTCTACTAAAAATCCAAAAATTGGCCAGGTGTGATGGCAGGCGCCTGTAATCCCAGCTACTAGGGAGGCTGAGGCAGGAGAATCATTTGAACCCAGGAGGCAGAGGTTGCAGTGAGCCAAGACCATGCCATTGCACTCCAGCCTAGGCAACAGAGTAAGACTCCATCTCAAAAAAATAAAAATAAATAAAAATTTAAAAAATACAAAGATTAGCCCAGTGCGGTGGTGCATGCCTGTAGTCCCAGCTACTCAGGAGGCTGAGGCAGGAGAATTGCTTGAATCCGGGAGGCAGTGGTTGTCGTGAGCCAAGATCGTGCCACTGCCCTCTAGCCAGGGTGACAGAGCAACACTCCGTCTCAAAAAACAAAACACAAAACAAAACAAACAAACAAAAAAACCTTCAATATATATTTCCTAAAAACTAAGGTATTGTCTTAACATAGTACAATAATCAAAACCAGGAAATTCACATTGATAAAATACTATAATCTACAAACTTTATTCAAATCTTGCCAGTTGTCCTATTAATATCCTTTATATCAAAAGAAAAAAATAAGTTCTGGTCCAGGATCATTCATAGCATTCTGTAGTTATTTATCTTTAGTCTCCTTTAATCTGGAAGAGTTTCTCAGTCTTTCCTTGTCTTTTAATGACATTAACATTTTTGAAGGGTACAAGCCAGTCCTTTTGCAGAATGTTCCTCAATTTGATGTTTCTTCCTAATTAGATTCAGGTTATGCATTCTTGTTTTGTTTTGTTTTGTTTTTGAGACAGAGTTCTGCTCTTGTCGCCCAGGCTGGAGTGCAATGGTGCGATCTCGGCTCACTGCAACCTCCGCCTCCCGGGTTCAAGCAATTCTCCTGCCTCAGCCTCCCGAGTAGCTGGGATTACCGGCCTGCATCACCATGTCCGGCTAATTTTTGTAATTTTAGTAGAGACAGGGCTTCACCATGTTGGCCAGGCTGGTCTTGAACTCCTGATCTCAAGTGATCCACCCGCCTCGGCCTCCCAAAGTGCTGGGATTACAGATGTGAGCCACCGCGCTTGGCCCACAGTATTTTAATTTTTAGCACAGCCTTGCCAATACGTAGCATTTCCCTGTTTCTCTCATGTATTTGCTTGTTGTCTGCTTTCCCACAAAAGCAGAAACTTGCCTCTGCTTTCTGTTTGGAATATCACAGAAGGAAAGTGTGTTCTTCTCCGTACACCATCTCAGGGAGGCGCCCACTGTGGATTTGTCCTATGCCTAGTGCGGTCTGCCTGTGGCATCAATGAGCACATCTCATTTTATGGTGAGATGCCTTGAGAGTGTATCCTGCTTAACATCTCTTTATGTGTCTTTCCTCAACCAGCGATGATTATTATGCTATGGCAAAGAGTTTTTTTTTTTTTTTTTTTTTTTGAGACAGAGTCTTGCTCAGTTGCCCAGGCTGGAGTGCGGTGGCGCGATCTCGGCTCACTGCAAGCTCCGCCTCCTGGGTTCACGCCATTCTCCTGCCTCAGCCTCCCGAGTAGCTGGGACTACAGGCGCCGGCCACCACGCCCGGCTAATTTTTTTTGTATTTTAGTAGAGACGGGGTTTCACCGTGTTAGCCAGGATGGTCTCAATCTCCTGACCTCGTGATCCGCCCGTCTCGGCCTCCCAAAGTGCTGGGATTACAGGCATGAGCCACCGCGCCCGGCCTGGCAAAGAGATTTTTAAAAATTTATTCCCTGTATAAAACGGGTGAGGAAAAATTATGTGGTGTTAGGCACACCGATGTTACCAGAGAATGCGTTCTAGCTGGGAGTTTAGCTGGCTTAACCCCATTCTCTTTCGCTGGGGCTGGGTAGAAGAGATCAGGCTACTCGGCTATATTAAAAATGCAACAAAAAACCCTGCATGAGACTGTTGACCCACTTAGAGAGAGCTCCACGCTTTGACCTCTGCAAATGGCATCCCCCTTCCGCAGGAAGTAGAAAGTTTCCTTTCAAGCTCTGGGCTCTCATTCCCACCCTAGGCCATGGGAACAGACCCACAGAAAGCTGCTGAGGCGGCTGCTGGGAGAGAAGTGTGAAGTGCAGGGGCTGTCCAGCCGAGGAACTGGCTGCCTTCCTTCATAATACAAGAACAGACCCAGCTACGTTAGAACATTGGAATTTTTAAAAACACACACGAGCTTTTCAATCGCCATACGGCCTTTTGAAATGTGGCTTTCAGAATTAGTTGGTTATGTGTAGGCAAGATTGCAAGGGAAAGAGTTAGCTTACAGAGACGACTAGCCAGGCCGGGCACGGTGGCTCACGCCTGTGATCCCAACACTTTGGAAGGCCGAGGCGGGTGGATCACCTGAGGTCAAGAGTTTGAGACCAGCCTGGTGGTTGGTGGACTTGAACCTTGGTGGACTTGAGCCTGGGTCTCTTGACATCCTGGACAATGCTATATTCAGAACCCAGTATTTTTCACAGCGAGGATGTCCTCTACCTCAGTTAGAGGTCACCTCTTTCCTGGCCCACCTCTTGACCAAATTAATTAATTAATCAAATATTTCTGGACCACCCAACATGGTGAAACCCTTTCTCTAATAAAAATACAAAATTAGGCTGGGTGCGGTGGCTCAAGCTTGTAATCCCAGCACTTTGGGAGGCCGAGATGGGCAGATCACGAGGTCAGGAGATAGAGACCATCTTGGCTAACACAGTGAAACCCCGTCTCTACTAAAAAATACAAAAAACCAGCCGGGCGAGGTGGCAGACGCCTGTAGTCCCAGCTACTGAGGAGGCTGAGGCAGGAGAATGGCGTAAACCCGGGAGGTGGAGCTTGCAGTGAGCTGAGATCCGGCCACTGCACTCCAGCCTGGGCGACAGAGTGAGTGAGATTCCATCTCAAAAAAAAAAAAAAAAAAAAAACACAAAATTAGCCGGATGTGGTGGCACATGCCTGTAATCCCAGCTACTTGGGAGGCTGAGGCAGGGGAATCGCTTGAATCCAGGAGGCGGAGGTTGCAATGAGCCGAGATCACGCCACTGCACTCCAGCCTGGACAACAGAGCGAGACTCCGTCTGAAAACAAACAAACAAACAAACAAAAACCAGATGACTAGCCATGAGGAAGAGAACCTCCAAGGCCTGGACCTTGACAATATTTGGCTAGGTATCCCCCATGCCTGCCTACACCCGAAAAGACTAAGGAAGCTTCTCTTCGCATAGGTGTCCGCTCCCTAAAAGCGCAAAGGCGTGAGTTGTGTGTTGCTGCTTAATTCGCATGATGTCCATGGAATGGGCACAGCTAACATTCTGTGAAGGTCACCCCAGTTTTCACCTTGGCCAGAGGACTGGGTCACAGTGTACCCATGTTAGAGGCCAGATCCAGGAATGTCACCCAGGAATGTCACAGTCCCTGTTCTTCGGGGACAATCCCAGCCTGCACCCCTCACTTCCCTGAAACTGCACTTCTCAGGGGGAGCAGGAGCCACAGCCCTAAGCGTCCTAAGGAGAAGAGCCAGAGGCAGGGCTGCCGGGGAAGGTGGGGCCTGGGCTGATGGGGACTCTCTCTGTCTGGTTACAGCTGCCCTATGAGAAGGCCTGCAAGAATAAGCTGTTTTGTGTCGCAGAATTACAGTTGGCCACCACCGTCTCTCAGTGAGTTGGATGCAGCTGTCAGTTTCCTCAATTAACCTCCTCCCGCACGCTTGCCTGGGGAATCCTCATCAGGATGCCCGGCACACCCCTTCCCCTCTTCCCGGGGCCCACACACGGCTTCTGCACTTATGATGTCATGATGTCCTCAGCTACCCGAGGAGGGAGGCAAGACGGAGCTCTGTCTTCCCACTTTCTAGATTAGGAAACATACTCAGTCGCCAAGGGCCCTGCATAGGGCATTTGGTGGACTTGAACCTGGGTCTCTTGACATCCTGGACAATGCTATATTCAGAACCCAGTGTTCTTCACAGCGAGGATAACCTCTACCTCAGTTAGAGGTCACCTCTTTCCTGGCCCATCTCTTGGCCAAATTCATTAATCCATCAAATATTTCTGGACCATCCACTGTGTGCCAAGCACTCTGGGTGCTGGGGATACCTCTGTGGACAACACAGACACAAATCCCTGCCCTCCTGGTGCTCTCAGGGGGAGAAGATGGGAAGCAGGTAAATTCTATGTGGATGAGATGAACGTTGAAGAAACAGGGAAGGTGGGACGGAGTGCTGGGTGGGGGTTGATGCTGAAGTTTTCAATGGGTGGCCAGGGAGGGTGACACTTTGGCACACACAGGAGGAAGTAGGGGAGCGAGCTATGTGGGTGGGTGTCTGAGGGAAGAGCAGCTGCAGGTACCCTGGGTTGACAGCCTGCCTGGTGGGTGGGGGGCAGGGTGAGGACCTAGTACTAGGCTGCAGTGGAGTGGGGTGGGGGATGAGGGAAGAGCAGCTGCAGGTACCCTGGGTTGGGAGCCTGCCTGGTGGGTGGGGGGCAGGATGAGGACTTAGTACTAGGCTGCAGTGGAGTGGGGCGGGGGAGTAATGATGGAGGGGGACGGAGTGGAAGAGGCAATGGGGCTTCTTAAGGCCTCAGAAGGGCTTTTGCTGTGAGCTGGGAAGTCAGAGGAGTGACACGCTCGTGCAGCTGGGCAGGATCCTTCTTGCTGCTGAGCTGAGAAGAGACCGTAGGAGCAAAGGTGGACGCAGGGGCTGCCCCTGCTCCCTTTGTAACCACTCAGGTGAGAGGTGATGGGGGCTGAGACCCAGGTCCCAGCCATGACGGGGGTAACGGTTTGAAGTGACAGCCCATAGCTTGTGCTGACAGCGTGGAGGCGGAGGGAGGAAAGAGGCCCACAGCCCAAGCATGAGGCACTGCACTGTCCAGCACACCGGCCACACGTCGCTGTTTGCATGTACATGAGTTACAGTGAAACACAATGAAACATTTTGTCCCGCAGTCACATAGCCACACTTCAAAGACTCAGTGGTCGCCTGTGGCTGGTGGTGTTGGGCAGCGCAGATGCCGCCTGTCTCCATCGCTGCAGACGTTCTGTTGGACCACACTGAATGCCAGAAGGACGGTGTCGCCAAGCACATGCGTTTGGGTTTGGACATGCAGTGGTCTCAAAATACCCTCCCAGGCCAGGTGCGGCGGCTCACGAGGCCTGTTATCCCAGCACTTTGGGAGGCTGAGGTGGGCGGATCACAAGGTCAGGCGTTTGAGATCAGCCTGGCCAACATGGTGAAACCCTGTCTCTACTAAAAATACGAAAGCTAGCTGGGTGTGGTGGTGCGCGCCTGTAATCCCAGCTACTGGGGAGGCTGAGGCAGGAGAATTGCTCAAACTCGGGAGGCGGAGGGTGCAGTGAGCTGAGATCGCGCCACGGCACTCCAGCCTGGGCGACAGAGCGAGACTCCGATCGGGGGAGAAACAAAACAAAACAAGCCGTCCCTGGAGCTAGTGCTGTGTGTGTTTTGTGATTCTGATGGCCAGCTGGCCGGAGTTGCCATATGGGAAGAAGGCAGTTCCCCAAGTCCTGGTCAGCCATTCCATAGACATCTGCAGGACCAACTGAAGACTTTCAAATGCTCTGGAATCCGGCCTAACAAGCAGGCGCAGCTGTTTCCAGCAGGGAATTAATTACAGTCAAGAACCAACCTCCCAGCCAGCTACTTGGGTAGTAAAGATACAGCACACACGGCTTGCCCTACATCGCCCCCTAGTGTACACAGCAAGCAAACGCTTCTCTTTCAAAAACACTAGGCCGGGCGCAGTGGCTCACGCCTGTAATCCCAGCACTTTGGGAGGCCAAGGCGGGCGGATCACGAGGTCAGGAGTTCGAGACCATCCTGGCTAACACGGTGACACCCCCTCTCTACTGAGAGTACAAAAAATGAGCCGGTGTGGTGGCGGGCGCCTGTAGTCCCAGCTACTTGGGAGGCTGAGGCAGAAGAATGGCGTGAACCCAGGAGGCGGAGCTTGCAGTGAGCTGAGATAGCACCACTGCATGCCAGCCTGGGCGGCAGAGCGAGACTCCGTCTGCAAAAAACAAGAACAAAACAAAACAACACTAGTGGCTGGGCGCTGTGGCTCACGCCTGTAATCCCAGCACTTTGGGAAGCCGAGACGGGCAGATCATGAGGTCAGGAGATCAAGACCATCCTGGCTAACACGGTGAAACCCCGTCTCTACTAAAAAATACAAAAAACTAGCCAGGCGAGGTGGCGGGCGCCTGTAGTCCCAGCTACTCGGGAGGCTGAGGCAGGAGAATGGCATAAACCCGGGAGGCGGAGCTTGCAGTGAGCTGAGATCCAGCCACTGCACTCCAGCCTGGGCGACAGAGCGAGACTCCGTCTCAAAAACAACAACAACAACAACAACACTAGAACACTAGTGAGCCTGGTTGTCAGCATCCAGCTGTCTCAGTGGTTTTTGACCTTTCTGAGGACATGGATCCCCTAAAGAATCTCATGAAGACTTCACACCACTCTACGTAGAAGATCACATGTGCATACATAAATGTTGGCATTCGGGCCCTCTGAGACGGTCCCTAGGCCTCAGATTAGGCAACACTGTTAAATATTCTGACGACACTGAGGTCTCACGCCTGGGCTCTGGGATGGTGCGTCCAGCTGACGTGTCAGCATCTCTGCTTCGTTATCCCATACGCCTCTCTTATCATGTCCCAGACTGGACGCATCTTCTTCCATCCTTGGGTCTTCCGCCCGTGTTACCTCCTTCAGTCGATGGCACCACTCAGCCACCTGAGCTAGAAACTCAGAACTCGCCCTTGACTCCTCTGTCCCCCCTCCCTGCCTCTTTTTTGTTTTGTTTGCTTTACTGTCTCTGACTTCTTTCCTTCTCCACTACTGTTGTCTTTTTCTGTCTTTTTTTGAGACAGGGTCTCATCTGTCACCCAGGCTGGAGTGCAGTGGCGAATCTCGTCTCGCTGCAACCTCCGCCTCCCAGCTTCAAGTGCTTCTCCTGCCTCAGCCTCCCATGTAGCTGGGATTACAGGCACCCGCCACCACACTCAGCTAATTTTTGTATTTGTAGTAGAGACGGGGTTAGCCAGGCCGGTCTTGAACTCCTGGCCTCAATGATCCACCCGCTCGCCTCCCAAAGTGCTGAGATTATAGGCGTGAGCCACCGTGTCCAGCCGTCCACTACTGTTTCCTTATTTCAGGCCTGTATCATGTCTCGGGTGGAGACAGCAGCCTCTGTCTTTGCTTCCTGTCTCTCCCTCCAATCAATCCATCCTCTTCTCAGCTGGAATCAAAACCAAACCAAAACCAAACGATGAGTACAAAACACACGTCACATTACTTCCGAGATCTGCACATTCCATCTTTGGACATTTCAGACGGAAAACAGTTTTCTTGGCATTGCTAATACGTTTTTCTCTAGACCTCAGCTACTGAGACTGGTTCTGCACTCTGGGTCCCCGTGATACCTCCGCATTCTGGAGGAGGCTTTCACACATCCCCAGGTCCCTCTTTTCCAGGCCACGTGGACTCGTGTCTTAAACCACAGCCTTTTAATGGGAAGGGTCTGAATGATTTTGTGGGTAGGAAGCTGAGGCCAAGAAAGGGGGTGGGACAGTGTGTCTTATGCACACCGGTCTCCAGTGCAAAGCAGTGCCGCATAAATACTGTGGTGTGGGGGCATTTGTGTCACAGAGTACCTCACCTAGGGCCACAGTGAACTGGTGGTAGAAAGAGGATTTGGGTACAGTTCTCTCAACTCTTTGGAGGCTGCTAGACTCCAGGCATTTAATTAGCCTTTTGTTTTTTTGAGATGGAGTTTCACTCTTGTTGCCCAGGCTGGAGTGCAATGGTGCGTTCACGGCTCAATGCAACCTCCGCCTCCTGGGTTCAAGCGATTCTCCTGCCTCAGCCTCCCGATTAGCTGGGATTACAGGTGCCTGTACCACGCCTGGCTATGTATATGTAGATATATATCTAGATATATAGATATATATATATATTTTTTGAGATATCACCCGGGCTGGAGTATAGTGGTGCGATCTCGGTTCACTGCAACCTCCGCCTCCCGGGTTCAAGCAATTCCCTGCCTCAGCCTCCTGAGTAGCTGAGACTACAGGTGCGCGCCACCACACCCGGCTAATTTTTGTATTTTTAGTAGAGACAGGGTTTCACCATCTTGGCCAAACTGGTCTTGAACTCCTGACCTCATAGTCCACCCGCCTTGGCCTCCCAAAGTGCTGGGATTACAGGCGTGAGCCACTGTCCCCAGCCAGTTTTTGTATTTTTAGTAGAGACGGGGTTTCGCCAGTTGACCGGGCTGGTCTTGAACTCCTGACCTCAGGTGATCCACCCGCCTCGGCCTCCCAAAGTGCTGGGATGACAGGTAATTAGCCTGTCTTGGCTTCTGTTTCCTCCTCTATGAAATGGAGAGTAGCTGTATTATGTCACAGGATCACTATGAGAGCTGAACATGTGAGACACAGTCCTTGGCACATGGTAAGCACTAAATAAACGGCAGGTGTTATCATCATCTCATGCAGCAACTGACATGGACGTGGCAGTCCAGCTGTTCGCTTATGTTGAGAGGAAAAAGGTCTCAGCTAAATGTATTCCCTAGGCAACTTAATCTCAAAAGTTAGTTAAGAAGGTGCTATTCTGGGTTGTGTGCGGTGGCTTACACCTGTAGTCCTAGCACTGTGGGAGGCCAAGGCAGGTGGATCACCTGAGCCCAGGAGTTCAAGACATGCCTCCACATGGTGAGACACTGTCTCTACAAAAAATACAAAAATTAACTGGGCATCGGCCTGGCTGGGTGGCTCAGGCCTGTAATCCCAGCACTTTGGGAGGCCAAGGCAGGAGGATCACCTGAGGTCAGGAGTTTGAGACCAGCCCGACCAACATAGAGAAACCTCGTCTCTAATAAAGATACAAAATTAGCCAGGCATGATGGTGCATGCCTGTAATCCCAGCTACTCGGGAAGCTGAGACAGGAGAATTGCTTGAACCTGGGAGGCAGAGGTTGCAGTGAGCCGAGATTGCGCCACTGCACTCCATCCTGGGCAACAAGAACGAAACTCTGTCTCAAAAAAAAAAAAAAAAAAAAAAAAAATTAGCTGGGCATGGTGGTAAACACCTGTAGTCCCAGCTACTCGGGAGGCTGAGGTAGGAGGATCACTTGAGCCCAGGAAGTGGAGGCTGCAGTGAGCCACGATTGTTGTGCTACAGCAGCCACACTCTAGCCTCGGTGACAGAGCAAGACCCCGTCTCAAAAAACAAAAACAAAACCAGAACATGCTATTCTATTGCATCGAAGTTTTTACAATTAAATAGTACCATTTTTATCTGTGCCCTGTGCAGGCAGGAATTGGTGGTGGGCCTCACAAAGGAGCTGACCCTGAACATCAGCCTAACTAACTCCGGGGAAGATTCCTACATGACAAGCATGGCCTTGAATTACCCCAGAAACCTGCAGTTTAAGAGGATGCAAAAGGTAACTGTCAGCGGCTGTGCAAACAGGTCCCTTACGCCCCTCCCTCGCTGCATGCCTGCTTTTCCGTGGCGACCCCCTCACTGGCACCCCTGCCTCCAGCCTCCTCCTGGTCCATCCAGTAAATGGTTAATAACTAGATACATCCCCGCCGGTCCGGCTAACACGCCTCCCGAGGCACCATATTCTGCTTCACTGTCCCCCTCCCTGTGTGCAGTCTTCCTTCACCAGGGTTCTGAGAGAGAAGTGGCTCCAACACCCTAAGACACTGAGAAAGTAAAAATTAGCTGAGACTGGGAACGCGAAAATCTGCCCTGCCATTCCCCAGGCTGGATCACAGACACAGATACTAGGAAACTGTCTGTTTCCCAAGGACACCCTGTGGCTGAGAAGTACTGCCACGCTGAGTTCTGTTCTCTAAAATCACAGATCAGAAAACTTTGCTGTTTGAAGTTACGTCGGTAATTATGAACCCCTGTCACTCTTGCCTGGAGAGTGCAAGTCATTTTGACCAAGAGAAGAGTCTGTTTCCATCTGAGGTACAGAGCTTCAGATACCGTGTGTGTCCACTTTCTACTCTATATTAATGGTTTCCAAGGAAGCGGGCCCTGGGTCTGGTTCACAGGCTGACCTGACGTTGGCTGACTGCTTGACACGCAGCCCTGCTTTGGCATCAAAACGCGACTTTATTTACATTTCATCTGAACTCTACCCTTTCCCAGAGTCCTTTAATAACCGTCTTTTCTGTTGTTCAGTGATACACACAACAGTGTAGTTTTCGGCTGGGTGCGGTGGCTCACGCCTGTAATCCCAGCACTTTGAGAGGCCGAGGCGGGCAGGTGACCTGAGGTCAGCAGTTTGGACCAGCCTGGCCAACATGGCGAAACCCTGTCTCTACTAAAAATACAAAAATTGGCCGGGCGCGGTGGCTCAAGCCTGTAATCCCAGCACTTTGGGAGGCCGAGACGGGTGGATCACGAGGTCAGGAGATCGAGACCATCCTGGCTAACATGGTGAAACCCTGTCCCTACTAAAAAAAAAAACAAAAAACTAGCCAGGCGAGGTGGCGGGCGCCTGTAATCCCAGCTACTCGGGAGGCTGAGGCAGGAGAATGGCGTAAACCTGGGAGGCGGAGCTTGCAGTGAGCTGAGATCCGGCCACTGCACTCCAGCCTGGGCGACAGAGCGAGACTCCGTCTCACAAACAAACAAACCCAAAGTGTACCTTTCCTCATTGCAATGAGTCAATAAACTTGACTTTGTTGGACCCTAAGTTTGTCCCCGGTCATCTTAGGCTATTTGGGCTAGGACTGTATCCATTATATGAATGAAACAATCTCCTAGGCTGGGCGCGGTGGCTCACGCCTGTAATCCCAGCACTTTGGGAGGCTGAAGTGAATGGATCACTTGAGGTCAGGAGTTCAAGACCAGCCTGGCCAACATGGTGAAACCCTGTTTCTATTAAAAATACAAAAAATTAGCCGGGCGTGGTGGTGGGCACCTTTAATCCCGGCTACTTGGAAGACTGAGGCAGGAGAGTTACTTGAACCCGGGAGGTGGAGGTTGCAGCGAGCCGAGATCACGCCACTTCACTCCAGCCTGGGCAAAAGGGCGAAACTCCATCTCAAAAACCAAAAACAAAAACAAAAAACAATCTCCTAGGCGTCTAGAGGGGAACTAGGGTTGGACCGTCCTTGGGAGAATTAAGAAAACTCACTGCAGTCATCACCTGCCCCTCGGGGGTCCGGGTGGGGAGCCTTGGTGGCTTCGTGGCAGTGCTGGTGTGTGCCGGCCTTCCAGCCAGGCTGTGGGTTACGTTTACATCAGGCCAAGGCCCGGCTCAAACGCCTCCTTCCTCAGGAAGACCTTATGGATTCCCCTGAGTTGGAACTCACCTTTCTCCGTCGCAGTTCTCTGCAGCTCCCTCACGCAAGCACCCCTTAGGCCTTGTATTTAAATTCCCCGGGGATCTACCGCTGAGCCCGCGTGTCTGTCTTGTGAGGAAGACAGGGACGAAGCGGACTTTATTTCCTCAGCTCCTGGCAGGGTGTCTGGCAGGCAGAAAAATTAGTGAACGTCTGCTGAATTGGTGTGAGGAAACTGAGGTGTTTTTTTTTTTTCCGCTCTTTAAGAGAATGTCATCTGCTCTGTTAACAGCCTCCCTCTCCAAACATTCAGTGTGATGACCCTCAGCCGGTTGCTTCTGTCCTGGTCATGACCTGCAGGATTGGTCACCCCGTCCTCAGGAGGTTGTCCGTGAGTCGGTTTGGACTGATGCGCTCTTCCCACCGCCTGCAGTTGGTGTCTTCTGCATCTTAGTCTCATTTGAATCCCTCGGTTCCAGCTTTGCGCTTCCCTTGACTGCAGTCAGTCTGTCCTCAGCGGCGCCTACAGTGGCTGAGTTGGCTCTGAAAGGAGGGGCTGATGGGATGAGAGCTTTCCAGTACACAGCCCTAGATGAACTGCCTGCTCACCTTGGGGAAGTGGAGTGAAGTTGGAGGGCATGTCAGACCAAAAGTTGCTTTTTTTTTTTTTTTCGAGATGGAGTCTTGCTCTGTCGCCCAGGCTGGAATGCAGTGGTGCCATCTCAGCTCACTACAACCTCTGCCTCCCAGGTTCAAGTGATTCTCCTGCCTCAGCCTCCTGCGTAGCTGGGATTACAGGCGTGCACCACTACACCCAGCTAATTTTTTTAATACTTTTGGTAGAGATGGGTTTTCACCATGTTGGCCAGGCTGGTCTCTAACTCCTGCCCTCAAGTGATCCGCCTGCCTCGACCTCCCAAAGTGCTGGGATGACAGGCGTGAACCACCATGCCCGGCCAAGACCAAAAGTCATTAACCCTGAGCTGTCACTGATCATCTCTGCTGTGGGAAATTTCTGAAGTGGCTTCTTCAACTGTAAAACGGGAATGAGGCCACCTGCCCTGCTTACTCCATATTTGTATTTGAGGCTTAAATGAAATAACGGGGCTGGGCGCAGTGGCTCACACCTCTAATCCCAGCACTTTGGGAGGCCGAGGTGGGTGGATCGCTTGAGGTCAGGAGTTTGAGACCAGCCTGGCCAACATGGAGAAACCCTGTCTCTACTAAAAATACAAAATTAGCCAGGCATGGTGGTGCATGCCTGTAATCCCAGCTACTCGGGAGGCTGAGGCAGGAGAATTGCTTGAACCTGGGAGGCAGAGGTTGCAGTGAGCCGAGATCATGTCACTGCACTCCATCCTGGGTGACAGAGCGAGACTCCGTCTCAAAAAAAAAAAAAAAAAAGAGAGAAAGAATGGAAAGGAAACATGCTGTGTTATAAAAATGTGAGGAATGTGAAAATCTGAGGAATCGTCTCCTAGGTCTGTTCCATGAGTAGCCAGCGGTCTGAATTGTGAGTGGCACAGAGAGGAATCAAGTGGCCTTTTTTTCTCCTTTAAAATAGGCTCATGTTTCAGTCGTTTGGCAGCTAGAGGAGAATGCCTTTCCAAACAGGACAGCAGACATCACTGTGACCGTCACCAAGTAAGTACTGCCTGGGTCACAGCAGAGTCAGGCTATGACCCTGGAAGACATCTCCCTACCACATGCGTGCTGTGAGAGGGATGGCCCCCTTACTTAGCCCAGGAAGAAAGGAAACCCCAGTGAGCCCACGGAAGGCATCTGTGTCCCTGCAGGGACTCGACTTTCTCTTCTTGTCACCAGAGACAATTAAAACGTTCTTTTATCCACACACACAGTAAAACGGTGGTACGGTCTGGTGGAATGAGCCTTGCAGTTCTGGTTCTGGTTCACTCAGCTTTGGAATAGCGTAGGGTAGCTCTGTTATCTGCAAGACCTCTCTGTTTGGGGGTAAGGGGGGAAGCGCTGTTGGGAAGAGTTCTCAAATGGAGGTGATTCTGCCCACCAGAGGCCGTGCCCGTTTTGACTGCCATGACTTGGGGTGGGGGGGTATTCAGTAGCACATCTGGTGGGTAGAGGCCAGGAATACTGCTAAACATCACACAGAGTAGTACAGGACAGCCCCCACAACCAAGAACTAGCCCAAAATGTCAATAGTGTGGAGGCTGAGAAGCCCTTTTAAAATCAGCATTTTTCTAAGTGTGGTCTTCTAGAGACAATTCTGAACTCCAATTGCTTATCTCTGAAAGCCTTTTCTTTTTCTTTTTTTTTTTTTTTGAGATGGAGTCTCACTCTGTCTCCCAGGCTGGAGTGCAGTGGCACGATCTCAGCTCAGTGCAAGCTCTGCCTCCCGGGTTTACGCCATTCTCCTGCATTGGCCTCCTGAGTAGCTGGGACTACAGGCACCCGCCACCTCGCCCGGCTAATTTTTTGTATTTTTTTGTAGAGACGGGGTTTCACCGTGTTAGCCAGGATGGTCTCGATCTCCTGACCTCGTGATCCGCCCGCCTTGGCCTCCCAAAGTGCTGGGATTACAGGTGTGAGCCACCGTGCCTGGCCTCTGAGAGCCTTTCCTTATCTGACTCCCAGTGACCCTGGGGAGCCAGGTGCAGAAGCTCCTGTTATGCAGTGAGAACACATGGACACAGGGAGGGGAACAACACACACTGGGCTCTGTGGGAGGGGAGGGGGAAGGAGAGCTTCAGGAAGAATAGCTAACGCGTGCTGGGCTTAGTAACTAGGTTCTGGGTTGACAGATGCAGCAAAGCACCATGGCACACGTTCACCTACGTAACAAACCTGCACATCCTGCACATGTACCCTGGAACTTAAAAACAAAACCTGGGCGCAGTGGCTCACGCCTGTAATCCTAGCACTTTGGGAGGCCGCGGCAGGCAGATCACTTGAGGTCAGGAGTTGGAGACCAGCCTGGCCAACATGGTGAAACTCCGTCTCTACTAAAAATACAAAAATTAACCGGGCGTGGTGGCACACGTCTGTAATTCCAGCTACTGAGAAGGCTGAGGCATGAGAATTGCTTGAACCCGGCAGTGGGGAGGTTGCAATGAGCTGAGATCGCACCACTGCACTCCAGCCTGGGCAACAGAGCGAGGCCCTTTTTAAGAAGCACTTGCCCATCCTGGCTAACATGGTGAAACCCTGTCTCTACTACAAAATGGAAAAAATTAGCCGGGCGTGGTAGCAGGCACCTACTCGGGAGGCTGAGGCAGGAGAATGGCGTGAACCCAGGAGGCGGAGCTTGCAGTGAGCCGAGATCACGCCACTGCACTCCAGCCTGGGCAACAGAGCAAGACTCTGTCTCAAAAAAAAAAAAAAAAAGAAGCACTTGCTATGTACAAAGCAGGTGTGCTGTGAACTAACACTCTTATTCCTAGTTCCAATGAAAGACGGTCTGTGGCCGAGGAGACCCACACCCTTCAATTCAGGCATGGCTTCGTTGCAGTTCTCTCCAAGTAAGTACTCCCGAGGGGCCAGCACCAGTGTGAGTCCGTCACCCAGGGGACAGCTTTGGGCTCTTTCTCTTGTAGATGGAGCTGGTGGTCAGGATGAATGTGGACACTGTCCTTCTGAGAGGAGCCTGCTTAGAACCCAGGCTCTGATATTGATCTCTAGGGTACTAACATTTGGGTCATAGAAACCCCATTGTGGTCATCAAAGGAGGTGTGTTGCCAACTAGTCTTGCTACAAAAGGGAATTAATATGACGCTGTGGAGGGAAGAAGGCAGCTGTGGGACTGGGAAGTAAGGAGGGGATGAGTAAGGCCATTTGAGGGATAATGAGTAAATGAACCAGCCCAACTATACAGAATTCAAATATTCTGCTTCACCCCAACTGCGCTACAACCACTTTACATTTTGACATTCAGCTTTTATTCCTTTTTTTTTTTTCTTTAACTGAGACGAAGTCTCACTCTGTTGCCCAGGCTGGAGCACTTGGTGCGATCTCGGCTCACTGCAACCTCTGCTGCCCAGGTTAAAGCGATTCTCCTGCCTCAGCCTCCCGAGTAGTTGAGACTACAGGTGGACACCACCAGGCCCAGCTAATTTTTAAAAAATTTTTAGTAGAGACGGGGATTTTACCATGTTGGCCAGGCTGGTCTTGAACTCCTGGCCTCAGGTGATCCTCCCGCCTCGGCCTCCCAAAGTGCTGGGATGACAGGCATGAGCCACCGCACCTGGCCTCATTCCTCGTAAAGGTCTGGTGCCCTCTGTCCTAGTGTATTCAGTTGAAAGTACTCAAGTTCATTCAAAAAGAGAAGGCCGGGCACGGTGGCTCACGCCTGTCATCCCAGCACTTTGGGAGGCCGAGGTGGGTGGATCACCTGAGGTCAGGAGTTCCAGACCAGCCTGGCCAACATGGCAAAACCCTGTCTCTACTAAAAATATGAAAATTAGCCAGGTGTGGTGGCAGGCGCCTGTAATCTCAGCTACTCGGGGGGCTGAGGCAGGAGAATCACTTGAACCTGGGAGGCAGAGGTTTCAGTGAGCCGAGATCGCACCACTGCACTCCAGCCTGGGCCACAGAGCAAGACTCCGTCTCAAAAAAAAAAAAAGAAAGGAGGATGGGTGCGGTGGCTCATGCCTGTCATCCCAACACTTTGGCAGGCTGAGGTGGAGGATCACTTGAGCCCAGGAGGTTGAGGCTACATGGAGCCGTGATTGTTCCACTGCGCTCTAGCCTGGGCAACAGAGTGAGACCCTGTCTCCAAAAAAGGGAGAAAGAGTCCTCAAGGGCTGATGCATGTCCTCTCAATTGCAGACCATCCATAATGTACGTGCACACAGGCCAGGGGCTTTCTCACCACAAAGAATTCCTCTTCCATGTAAGTACTTATTATTGTAAAGCTATAGGTGGCAAAGCAACACCCGCTTTGAGTTCCTACTCTGATTTTAATTTGCAGATACATGGGGAAAACCTCTTTGGAGCAGAATACCAGTTGCGAATTTGTGTCCCAACCAAATTACGAGGTCTCCAGATTGTAACAGTGAAGAACCTGACGAGGACTCAGGTATTTAAAGGCAGTTCTTTATCACAATTGCATCTCTTTCCAGAGTGACTACAGAGTCTCAAGTATAAAAAACCAGAGTTCTAGAAACGGAGGAAAGACAAGTTAACCACGGGAAAAGATTAGGAGTAAATTACCGAAGTCCTGTTCAGAAGGAATCTCAATCACTCAGATCTTAAAACAACCTGTCAGTTTTCCTCCCGTTGAGGAAAAATAAGCAAAAATTAAAACCTTGTCAGTAGACAGAGACATTTCCCCTTTGAAAATTGATAAATTCTGCTTCTCTGTTTGACTGATATAACATGTGACATTTCTTACACTGCCCCCTGTAAGTTGCTTACTAGCTTCCCTTCCTCTCCCCTGAGACTCTTTTTTTGGTCTCTGCTTTGCCTCAGCCTCTTTACTTTCAGTTGTCTCATCTGTAGTCTGGTTCCCAAAGCTAGCCTTGATACCTGAAGCAACAGGCTCTGCTCAGTATGACGGCTGAAGCCTGGGCTTTTTTTTTTTTTTTTTTCTTCTCAGACTACATCAGTGTCAAGGCTCAAAAAATGGAAAGGAGGCCGGGCGCGGTGGCTCAAGCCTGTAATCCCAGCACTTTGGGAGGCCGAGACGAGTGGATCACGAGGTCAGGAGATCGAGAGCATCCTGGCCAACACGGTGAAACCCCGTCTCTATTAAAAATACAAAAAAAAACTAGCCGGGCGAGGTGGCGGCGCCTGTAGTCCCAGCTACTCGGGAGGCTGAGGCAGGAGAATGGCGTGAACCCGGGAGGCAGAGCTTGCAGTGAGCTGAGATCCGGCCATTGCACTCCAGCCTGGGCGACAGAGCGAGACTCCGTCTCAAAAAAAAAAAAAAAAAAAATGGAAAGGAATTTACAGAAATGACTCTGCTGACAATTAACAGAAATGACTCTGCTGACAATTAGAAAGAGGGCTTACAGGTCAGGTACCATGGCTCACGCCTGTAATCCCAACACTCGGGATGCCGAGGTGGCTGGATCACAAGGTCAGGAGTTCGAGACCAGCCTGGCCAACATGGTGAAATCCCGTCTCTACTAAAAAAATACAGAAAATTAGCCAGGCATGGTGGTGTACGCCTGTAATCCCAGCTACTCGGGAGGCTGAGGTAGGAGAACTGCTTGAACCTGGGAGGCGGAGGTTGCAGTGAGTTGAGATGCGCCACTGCACTCCAGCCTGGGTGACAGAGCGAGTCGGTCTCAATAAAATAAAGAGGGCTTACAAATATAAACATTTGCATTCATATGCAGTTTATTTATTTTTAAAAATAGAGGCAGGGGTCTTGCTATGTTGACCAGGCTACATTTGAATTCCTGGGCTCAAGCGATCCTCCTGCCTCAGCTTCCCGAGTAGCTGGGACTACAGGCGCACGCCACCGCATCCAGCTAGTTTACTTTTTAAAGAACGTTTGTTATCAGCACATTTAAACATTTCAACAAATATTTCAGTTCCCATTTGGAAACAAAATTCTTGTTTGAAAAGCTGACTGGAAGCCTGTGAGAATGGGAGTTCCACCCTGCTCTGAGGATGGAGGCTAAAACAGCACCAGAGGCTTCAAGACCAGCCTCCTCTCACCTGGGGGCAGTCAGACACATTGAGCTTACTTAAATAGGCTGTGCTGGCAAAGCAAGTCAGTGGCAGAGCTGAAGTTCAGCATTGTCCTGTGGAACTCCCGGATCTGCTTCCTGATTTGCTTCATGGCAGGAGTGTTACATTTACTCTTGAAGGTCATTTGTTTCAGAATCTTGTCTGTCAGGTAATGTAGCCAGAGCACATTACTATAAGGGTGATATTCTCCCCAGCAGTTGTTATTCTCCTTCTTCATGAGCCTGTAGATGTCAAACTGGTAGTCGCCGTCACCGGTAAACAGGTCCTCGTCCATGGAAACGTCGCAGAAAACCACAATCCCGTCCCGTTCCAAGCGGGACAGGGTGTAGTCAATGATGCTGACTTGCAGGCCACGGGTGGGGATGGTGCTGCTCTTCCCGTTGAGGGTGTAGTGGAGTTCTTTGAGGCTGGTTTTCTTTAAGAGCACATTCCCCCAGTGTAAGTCTCGGTGCTCAAACCGCAGTGATGCCTCCGCCACTGCGAGGGAGGCTGTGAGCTGGTGTAGAATGCTCTTTGCAGTAGCCAAGGAAGACAGCTTGGTTTTCATTTGCTCTAGGTCAGTCCCTCCAAACTCAAATTCCAGCACAATGAAGAGCTGGTCGTCTTTAAAAAAATCAGGCCGGTCATTTGCAGAGCCTTTGGTTGAATGATAGTGATCCCAGGCTTTGAGGAGCAAGGGAGGGTAAGATCCCTGGACACAGTGCACTGAGTTCAGCCCGATAAAGCCTTCTGTGCGGTTGCACACTTCACCGGATAAGAGGCTCAACTCTTTGGAGATGATGATCTCTGGCAGGATTTCCTCAAAGGTTTTCTGATGGGATCCATTGACTAAATCGGGTCCTTCAATAGCAATGATTTTTATGGCTACAGGTGCGTGATCAGTAATTGTTCGAAACACTTCGCCAAACACCCCTTCCCCAATCTTCTCACAGCATTGCAGTTTTTCTGTGGGAAGGCAATGGCTAAAGGGGACAGGACCCTTCTGATTGCATTCCCCATAAACCTTTTCAGCATCAGATGCCTTTTTGTTTGAAATACTTAGAGTGTTTAAGGGGCTTAGCAAATACATAGAGGAGGAGTGCCAAGAGGACAGAGCACCACTTGTTTTGTTCGTGACATGCTGGTTTGAACATTCTGAGAGGAGGGATCCAGAGAGAGAAGTGGCAATGGTATAGATGCTGCAGACCTCTGACACATCAGTCACAATTTTCTTCTTGTGGAAACTGAAGGAAGCCCTGGTTTTGGTCCAAAAGCTGGCATTCTGTAAAGGAGTCAGGTCCTGGGTGGGGAACGAATCTTTTCTCATCTTTTGGCCCTTTTTAAAGTGGTGGGAATGGAGGAGAGAGGTTTCCCTTGCCTCCTGATGTTTGCTCTTCCGGCTTGGTCTAGTTCTCTCCAGCCTGTCGATTCCCCCTGGCACAATGCGGCCCTTGGAAACGCTGGCTTCCTGATGCTCTCTCCGGCCGGCCTCTTGAAGCCCTCTCTCTTGACAAGAGGCTTGGCCTGTGGCCCTCCTCTTGCCTGTGTTTGACAGACCTGGACACTCTGGTCCACTTCCCACCAGTTTCCTTTTACTGCAGGATTCCCTCATATTCTTCCCATCTGCCCCAAACTCAGAATCCTCAGGGGTTCCTGAGTTCACAAGGCCAAAGATTGCTGACCTGAGGCTGGCACGGGTTTGGTGGACCATCCTGGTGAGCCTGACTCCTCCTGTCGCTTCCTCCTGGGAGCAGGGGAGAGACGCTTGGTCCAGGGAGACTTCCGGGAGGTAGAGGCCGCTCGGGACGGCTGAGGCTGCAACCAGAGAGGCGGAGGTGCCGATCGAGATGACACTGTCCCTTGGCGTTGGGGACCCGGGGCCGGATGAGGCCAGAGAGCTGAACAGGGAAGCACTGGTGCCCACCTCGTCGCCGTCCCTGGGCTGGCCGCACACGCTGAGGTCCGGGCTGAGGCGGCCGGGGTCACGGCTGGGGAAGGGCGGGAGTCGGAGCGGGCCGCAGGGGGTGCTGCACTTCTGCGGGGGCCGAGTTCGCAGCCCCAGGCGTCTTGGGGTCACGGTGAGGCTCGGGCGAGCTCGCAGCTTCCTGCGCTTTGGAGTCACGGTCAGGCTGGGCCGGTCCTTGGGGACTCGGGGACGCCTCCGCCGCCGCCTCACCGGGCTGCCAGGGAAGTCGGGGTCGTCCGGATCGTCGGGATCGTCAGGATCGTCGGACTGCGAGGGGTCGCCGATGCTGGCGTCGCTGCTGCCGCTGCTGTTGAAGAAACGCCTCCGGTCCTGCGGCGGGAACCACTGCGCGGCTTCCTGGCCCGGCCGCCGCTGTCTTCTGCCGTCGGCAGCCCCATAAGTGCGGAAAAGCCGGCTCCCAAATCCCGGGGGCGAAGCCGCCATGGCCAGCACCCGCCAAGATGTTCAAACTCAAACATCGCGAGACTTCCGCGCGACGCGGACGCGCCGGCCTGCCGCGGGGTCCTAGCTCCCGGATCTGCGCATGCGTACCTCGCCGGGGCACGGGCCGGGGCCGGGGCCGGGGCACGGGCCGGGGCCGGGACCGGGGCCGAACACTGGCGGCTCGGTTTGTTCAGCGCGTCGCGGTCATGGGTCTCGTTTCAGGCCTTCACGGTGTGCACCTGGAGTCAGGAGCGCGCTTGTGGGTTCATTCCGGTTCAGGTAAGTGCGGCGGTCCCGACCGGCCAGGGGAGGGCGGAGAACCTGAAGCGGGTGACACGAGAGGCGAGGAGGCCGTTTTTCCAGGGTTACCCCTGCCTGCCGGTGCCGGCGGCTCCCAGGCCCTCCCTAGCTGCGTCCCTGGGTCTCATTTGCTCCCGCCGGAGCTTTGCTTGGGCCGAGGTGAGCGCTGAAATTGCGCACACCCTCTCTTCTGGGACCTTACGATGCTCTGTGTCCAAAGTGTTAAGCGTGTCAGTCTTTCCGCACGGAAAGGAATTGTGTTAACTAGACCCTGCTTTTCCAGCATGTGGAAGAATGGCATTCAGTGAGCTGTGTCATCGCTTCCGATAAAGAAAATGTAACCGTGGCTGCAGAGATCTCCGTGGATCACTCTGAGGAGGTATTTGAGACTGAAATGCTCCAGATCTGATTATCCAGTTGCTCACGGGCATCGCCCCGAGAAGGGATAATAGCATCTTTGCATAATATGTCCAAAATAGGTCTTTTGGTGCGAAAAACCAACCCTCTGTTCCACCGTTCCTTAGCTGCCCTCAGGAGGGTGATTTACTCCAGTTACAGTACAAGGAACTCTAGGGATTACCTGTGACTCCCCTTTCCTACATCCCCACGTCTATTCCAGCAGCAAGGCCTGCCATTTCAGTGCCAAAATATATCCTAAATCCATTCACTTCTCTCCATTTCCACTGCCGTTGTAATTCAAACTACCCTTTCTTGCCAGGGCTGTTGAAATCACCTTTAGCCTGCTTTTCTTGCCTCTGCTTTTCCGACATTCTCTACAAATAATTCCCACGTAACAGCTATCCATCTTCTAAGAGCAGACATTAGATTGTGCCACTCCCCTGCTTATTTAAAAAACAAAACAAAACAAAACAAAAACTGCTGCTTGAGCACACTTAGACTAAAATCCATACTTTTTGCATGGCCAGAGCAAGGCACTACTTGATCTGGTCTCTGCTTAATTCTTCAACTTCATCTCCTAGTACTCGCCTTTCTCTCCCACTGCCCCTTTTATTATTTTATTTATATATATATATATATATATATATTTTTTTTTTTTTTGAGACGAAGTCTTGTTCTGTCGCCCAGGCTGGAGTGCAGTGGCACGATCTCAGCTCAGTGCAAGCTCTGCCTCCCGGGTTCACGCCATTCTCCTACCTCAGCCTCCTGAGTAGCTGGGACTACAGGCGCCCACCACCACGCCTGGCTAATTTTTTGTATTTTTTTTTAGTAGAGACGGGGTTTCACTGCGTTAGCCAGGATGGTTTCGATCTCCTGACCTCGTGATCCGCCCACCTCGGCCTCCCAAAGTGCTGGGATTACAGGCGTGAGCCACTGCGCCCGGCCCACTGCCCCTTTTATAATCGGGTTATTCTGTCCTATTCTTCTAGCTTGCCAGTACAGTATTATTCTGGCCATAAGACTTTGTACTTGCTGTTCCTTTGCTTAACACTGCTCTTCCCCTAGGTCCTCATGGAGGTGGTTTCTTCTTAAATTTAGCTCAGGTGTTCTTTTCTCTTTTCTTTTCTTTCTTTCTTTTTTTGAGACGGAGTTTCACTCTTGTGCAATGGCGTGATCTTGGCTCACTGCAACCTCCGCCTCCCGGCTTCAGCGATTCTCCTGCCTCAGTCTCCCGAGTAGCTGGGATTACAGGTTTGCGCCACCATGCCCGGCTAATTTTGTATTTTTAGGAGAGATGGGGTTTCATCATGTTGGTCAGGCTGGTCTTGAACGCCTGACCTCAGGTGATCCACCCACCTTGGCCTCCCAAAGTGCTGGGATTACAGGCGTGAGCCACCATGCCCAGCCTCAGGTGTTATTTTCTTAGAGAGGCCTTCCCTGATTACTTATCCTAAAGTGGGAATTAGTGATCAAGTGATCAAGTTTAATGTCTTGCAGTGATCCAGGTGACATTCATGAGGTCTCAACTGAAGAAGTAGCAATGGGGGTGGAAAAGAAAGGGACAGGTACAAGATAAAATTTAAAAAAGAATTGTGAGTGTGGTGGCTCACATCTGTAATCCCAACACTTTGGCAGGCTGAGGCGGGAGGATTGCTTGAGGCCAGGAGTTCAAGATCAACCTGGGCAGCAAAGTGAAACCCCATCTCTTTTTTTTTTTTTTTTTTTTTTAGACGGAGTCTCGCTCTGTGCCCCAGGCTGGAGTGCAGTGGCGCGATCTCGGCTCACTGCAAGCTCCGCCTCCCGGGTTTACGCCATTCTCCTGCCTCAGCCTCCCGGGTAGCTGGGACTACAGGCGCCCGCCACCACGCCCGGCTAATTTTCTTGTATTTTTAGTAGAGACGGGGTTTCACTGTGTTAGCCAGGATGGTCTTGATCTCCTGACCTCGTGATCCGCCCGCCTCGGCCTCCCAAAGTGCTGGGATTACAGGCTTGAGCCACCGCGCCCGGCCCGAAACCCCATCTCTTAAAAAAAATAAATAAAAAATTAGCCAGGCATGGTGGCTCATTCCTGTAGTCCCAGCTACTTGGGAGGCTGAGGCAGGAGGATCGTTTGAGCCCAGGAATTTGAAGCTTCAGTGAGCTATGATTGAGCCACTGCATTCCAGTCTGGCTAACAGAGTGAGACCTTGTCTCAAACAAACAAGAAAAAAAAAAAAAAAAAGGAAGAAACGCTTACATTAAATAAAATGAATAAGCTGAGTGCGCTGGCTCATGCCTGTAATCTCAGCACTGTGGGAGGCTAATGTGGGTGGATTACTTGAGCCCAGGAGTTTGAGACCAGCCTGGGCAACATGGTGAAACCCCATCTGATCTGCAGTTCAGTTACATCTTTTAGTAACTAGAAGATGGGGAAAGGAAGGAGAGAAACAAAACATGTTTTAGACATGAACTCACTGTGTTTGAATGGCCCTCACCACCTTTCCTTTTAAAGGCATTCCTGGGCTTAGTTAACGGCCCCAAAGTACACAACACTACACAAAGTCACCCAAACAAGACATCTGCAGTTATTCTCCAACTTCCTTTTTTTTTTTGAGACAGAGTCTCAAAAAAAACAAAATACAAAAATTAGCCCAGTGTAGTGGGGTGTGCCTGTGGTCCCAGCTGCTCGGGAGACTGAGGTGGGAGGATCACTTGAGCCTGGAAGGTTGAGGCTACGGTGACCCTTGATCATACCATTGCACTCCAGCCTGGGTGACAGAGCGAGATCCTGTCTCAAAAACAAGTCAGTCAAGAGCTGACTTTGGATGGCACAAGGGAAAAGAAGAAAAGGCCAGGCGCGGTGGCTCACGCCTGTAATCCCAGCACTTTGGGAGGCCGAGGTGGGTAGATCATCTGAGGTCAGGAGTTCGAGACCAGCCTGGCCAACATGGCAAAACCCCATCTCTACTAAAAATACAAAAATTAGCCGGGCGTGGTGACTCACGCCTATAATCCCAGCTACTCGGAGGCTAAGGCAGGAGAAGCCCTTGAACCTGGGGGGTCGGAGGTTGTAGTGAGCCGAGACTGCGGCACTTCACTTCACTCCAGCCTGGGCGAAAGAGCAGGACTCCGTCTCAAAAAAAAAAAAAAGAAAAAAGAAAAGGAAGTTGGAGAATAACTGCAGATGTCTTGTTTGGGTAACTTTGTGTAGTGTTGTGTACGTTGGGGCCGTTAACTAAGCCCAGGAATGCCTTTAAAAGGAAAGGTGGTGAGGGCCATTCAAACACAGTGAGTTCATGTCTAAAATATGTTCTGTTTCTCTCCTTCCTTTCCCCATCTTCTAGTTACTAAAAGATGTAACTGAACTGCAGATCCTTGGTGAAATATCTTTCAACAAATCTCTATATGAGGGACTGAATTCAGAGAACCACAGAACTAAGGTAAGTCCTGGCTAACTTCTGAGTAGTGCCCAAGGAAAATTGTGCCTAACCTTTGAGTGCCTGCACAGACATTCTGTTGCCCTCTTCCTGTTTTCAGCCTTAACACTTCTGATCTTGGCTCTGCCATCACTGCCTTTGTGACCTTGAGTGAGTCAGCTTCTGCCAGTTTTTTGCCTATGAAATAAGGCAATTAAGAGGCGTAAGCTGAGGAGTTCTGAATTGAAATAACTAGGCTGGAATCTGCATTATATACTTTGATTTGAAAATATATTAATTTTAAAAAAAAATTTCCAGCCAGGCACCGGTGGCTCACACTGTAAACCCAGCACTTTGGGAGGCTGAGGCGGGTGCATCACTTGAGATCAGGCCAAGACCAGCCTGGCCAACATGTTGAAACGTGGTGAAACCCTGTCTCTACTGAAAATACAAAAATTAACCGGGCATGATGGTGGGTGCCTGTAATCCCACCTACTTGGGAGGTTGAGGCACGAGAATCGCCTGAACCTGGGAGGTAGAGGTTGCAATGAGCTGAGATCGTGCCTCTGCACTCCGGTCTCAATGATAGAGTGAGACCCAGTCTCAAATAAATAAATAAATAATTTTTAAAAAATTTCCTAAGTAAGAAATTGTTTTTCGTATACATTAACTGTCTTAGTGTGCTGTATCAGTGTTTGGTGATAGTATTAAACAGTACTTAGGAATGCATAGATCTTTTATAAGATTTAGACCAGGCCGGGCGCGGTGGCTCAAGCCTGTAATCCCTGCACTTTGGGAGGCCGAGACGGGCGGATCACGAGGTCAGGACATCGAGACCATCCTGGCTAACATGGTGAAACCCCGTCTCTACTAAAAAATACAAAAAATAGCCGGGCGAAGTGGCGGGCGCCTGTAGTCCCTGCGACTCGGGAGGCTGAGGCAGGAGAATGACGTAAACCCGGGAGGCGGAGCTTGCAGTGAGCTGAGATCCGGCCACTGTACTCCAGCCTGGGCGACAGCGCGAGACTCTGTCTCAAGTTTGGGCAGATACTGGAACTCTTGGAATTCTTTTTATGACGTCTACGACCAGAAGTCAGCCTGATGCCTGTGATTTGTGGACTCAATGCTTTGTGTGTTGATTTAGACCAGATACTGGAACTCTTGGAATTCTTTTTGCAAACGTACGACCAGAAGTCAGCCTGATGCCTGTGATTTGTGGACTCAATGCTTTGTGTGTTACCCTTTGTGTTCATTCTTGTTGACACTCGCCTGGACATGGCTTCAGAGGTGATCTGTCTGTGAGCTCTGAGCTCTTTAGTTAGGCGTGATTGTCTACTAGAGGGAATGTCAGGGGAGTGATGCTGGATTGCTAAATATAAGGTCCTCTGTTTTCCTCCCTGGAGGAGGAGAAAGGAGCAATTGTCTAGACATGCCAATATAACATTTCCTTTTATTTTTAAGTAGTGTATTTCTTTTTCCTTTTTTTCTTTTCTTTCTTTTTTTTTTTGAAGCAGAATCTTGCTCTGTCGCCCAGGCTGGAGTGCGGTGGTGCGATCTGGGCTCACTGCAAGCTCCGCCTCCCGGGTTTACGCCATTCTCCTGCCTCAGCCTCCCGAGTAGCTGGGACTACAGGCGCCTGCCACCACGCCCGGCTAGTTTTTTTTTTGTATTTTTAGTAGAGACAGGGTTTCACCGTGTTAGCCAGGATGGTCTCCAACTCCTGACCTCAGGTGATCTGCCCCCCTTGACCTCCCAAAGTGCTGGGATTACAGGCGTGAGCCGCCATGCCCAACTAAGTAGTGTATTTCTTTCTTTTTTTTTTTTTTTGTATTTTTTAGTAGAGACGGGGTTTCACTGGGTTAGCCAGGATGGTCTCGATCTCTTGACCTCGTGATCCGCCTGCCTCGGCCTCCCAAAGTGCTGGGATTACAGGCTTGAGCCACCGCGCCCGGCCTAAGTAGTGTATTTCTAATACAGAAAACAATGTGGAAGAAATAGAAGTGCCCCATTATTGCACTGCCCAGATTTTAACCAATAAAAGTAATAGCAAGAAAATCCAAGCCATACAGAGAACGGTAATGAAATGAAAAATAATGGTTCCTTCACTTCTCCCTTCCCATGCCCCTAGCAGGGAGGAGTTACTATTAAGTTTCTTACGTGCACATTTTAAATTTATATATTTCCCCCTCTTACTTACTGATACTTTTATTTCTATGGCACGGATTCTGCAAAATTCCTTTCTTTAAATCCAATATCCTAAGCAAAGTATTAAGTAGTTCCTGACAATAAGCACCTGACTGACAGTGACTCTGTGAATATAAACAAATTATCCAAATGCATTTCAGCCTCAAGAAAGGGAAAATCCAGCTCTTGCAGCACAAGGGCATATGCTGTTTATCCAGCGAGAGAGACTAACCTGGGGCGATGGGCTGGCTGCTTTTGTCCTTGCACTCTGCGGTGCTGGGGCTGCGTTCTGTCACGGCAGCGCAAAGTTGCCACGTCTCCAAATGCTATATTTTCACATGGCAGGATACGGAACAGGAAGCAAGAAGTCAGTCGCAAAAGGATTTTGGATTTTTCTTCATGGGCCTTCCCTTTTCAGGGACGAAACATTTTCCAAAAGCTCCCAGGAGACATCCTCTTACATCTTATTAGTGAGATCCGAATCTCACGTCAGTCACTGGTGAAGGAAAATAGCTGTGTGTCATGATCCCCGTAGACCAACCATGATTCCTGAATAAAATCCGAAAGGAGACAGTGGCCGCTGGGCAGGCCAGCATCCGTGTTTGCTGCAAGCAGTAGTACCTGGTGCCCTGCTTCTCCCTTAACCTCTACCTGGGCATCTTCAGGGCACTTTTGGGAATCTGTGGGTTTAGAAGAGGATAAAGGGAGGCGGCTTTGAGAAATGGGGACATGTCTTCTACTCAAATCTGGCCTGTTTCCCGAGTCACCTTGGGACTTCCTTTCACTTCCCAAACCCAGGTTCTCAAGTCCCCCTCTTTCTCCTATAGAAGAATATTCCAGCCCTCTTTCTGTTCTTCCTCCATCTTTGTTGCTATGGTACCTCCCTATTCTCAAGTCCTAGGACTTCATTTCTATTAAGTTCACTACCTATGATCTAAGTAGGGCCTGGAAGGTCAACTTTAGGTCAACCAGCAGTTATAACTTAATTGGAAGAGGCCTTAAAGGTAAGTTTGTCCAGCTCTTCACCCTGTACAGAAACCTCTCCAAAGCATCCCTGACCTTGGCACTTAAACATACACGTGAAGGGAACTCAGTGCTCTGAGCAGGCAGAGAAGTCTTGTTGGCTCTCTGGCCCCACCTAAGTCCTGGGAACTTGTTCTGGCCACAACTTGGAAGGGCCATCCCTGGGTCTCAGGAAGCACATCTCCTGAACTTTCTAGCTGAGCCCTGCCAGAAGAGAGATGAGACTCCCGACACTGGGAGAGCCTTTGGAAAACAAAACCTGAGGATGACTTCTCATAGCTGAGCTCTGCAAGTAGTACACATGGATATAATTTTGCATTTATTATGTCCCTTAGGTAATAACACACTTTTTAGTCTGATGAGGAGAAGACCAGTACTTTTGTCATATTTTGTGGGGGGAAAATGTATTACCAAAGCCTTTAGGGATCTGTGCAAGACCAAAAAGAGCTGTCAGAACGGAGTTGGAAAGGACTTGGAGATCACTGAAAGGAAGTCATCGTTTTGAAGAGAACAGGCACGGGGCTCAGGGACATAGAGCAGTGTAGCGGTGTGACAGCCTCGCAGTTCCATGTTGAGACTGGATTCCGCGGGACCCTCTTTCAAGCTGTCAGAGCATCTTTAACAGAAGGTCACAATCTCCTGACAGACCTAGCCCTTCTAGATAAGGGGCCAGAATAGTTTCTTACAAAGTATTTGGATGATTGGATAATTTTAGATGATCTAAAATGCTGTATCAGGGAATATTAGCTTTTTGCTTTTGTGTCATCAGTTTTAATCAATACACAGGATGTTGCCAAGTCCTCGTATTTTGCTCCTTAAAATAACATGTAGGATTTTTTTTCCTCATTTCCTTCACCTGATGTATTGGGCCATCTCTTTGTCTTGTCTAGATCACTGTCGTCTTCCTGAAAGATGAGAAGTACCATTCTTTGCCTGTCATCATTAAAGGCAGCATTGGTGGACTTCTGGTGTTGATTGTGATTCTGGTCATCCTGTTCAAGGTCAGTTCTACTCATGGCATAACGGTGAGGGAAGACTGGGCTCTGGTTTTGGGCACAGAACTCCTTAGGACAGCCAACCTCTGACCTAGAGCAGCTGCCCTGGCCTCGTGGCCACTTTTTTCTCCTCCTTCAACTACACACCCCCATTTAGACAAATGAGTAAAACAGTATCTGTCTGAAAAGAGAAAACTCTAATTGAATAATAAAGAGCGATTTTATATATATTTCTTTGCCACCTCGCTATTCTCAAGGCCCAGAACTTACTCCTGTTACGTTCGGCTCCCTGTGAGTTAAATAGGGCCTGGAAGGTCAACCCTAGGCCAGCATTTGTAACTTGATTGGAAGAGGCCTTCACGGTAAAAAAAAGGCCTTAAAACAGATGTGATTGCTGTTCCCCTAGTGAAATCTTTTCCTTGCCTTCCCCTGTCTTAATGTGCAAACTCTTCTACTACTATTTAAGATCCTCTCCTCTCTGCCCTCTACCCCTCTCTGCCCTTAAGTGTTCCTTTTCTTCTTCTTTTTTTTTTTTTTTTTTGAGATGGAGTTTCGCTCTTTGTGCCCAGGCTGGAGTGCAGTGGCGTGACCTCAGCTCACTGCAACCTCTGCCCACCTCCCTGACCCCCACTCTGGGTTCCAGCGATTCTCCTGCCTCAACCTCCCGAGTAGCTGGGATTACAGGTGCACGCCACCACGCCCAGCTAATTTTTGTATTTTTAGTAGAGATGGGGTTTCACCGTGTTGGCCAGGCTGGTCTCGAACACCCGACCTCAGGTGATCCACCCGCATCGGCCTCCCAAAGTGTTAGGATTACAGGCGTGAGCCACCGCGCCCAGCCTTTCTTTTTTTATTATTATTTTTTTTGAGACGGAGTCTTGTTTCTTCACCCAGGCTGGAGTGCAATGGCGTGATCTTGGCTCACTGCATCCTCTGCCTGCCAGGTTCAAGCAGTTCTCCTGCCTGAGCCTCCCCAGTAGCTGGGATTACAGGCACATGCCACCATGCCCGGCTAATTTTTGTATTTTTAGTAGAGACAGGGTTTCACCGTGTTGGCCAGGCTGGTCTCGAACACCTGACCTCAAGTGGTCTACCCACTTCAGCCTCCCAAAGTGCTGGGATTACAGGCATGACCGCTGTGCCCGGCCTTTTTTTTTTTTTTTTTTTTTAAATAAAAGACAGAGTCTTGCTTCGTCCCCCAGGCTGGAACTCAGTGGCACAATAATGACTCACCGCAGCCTCAGACTCCTAGGCTCAGGCCATCCTCCCGCCTTAGTCTCCTGAGTAGTTGGGACTGTTACTTAGGCGCATGCCACCACACCCAGCTAATTTTTTTATTTTAATATTGTGGAGATGAGGTCTCCCTATATTGCCCAGGCTGGTCTCAAACTCCAGGGCTCAAGCGATCTTCTCATCTTGGCCTCCTGAAGTGCTGGGGCTACAGACATGAGCACCTGGCCCTGCTGTTTTCTCCCAACAAGTCAAACTGTTCCCTAAATAGGTTCGTGCCTCTGCGTCCGCATAGGCTGCTACTGTTGTCAGGAATGCCCTCCATGACTGCTCACTTCGCTCACTCTCTTCCCTGAAAGCGGTCTAGAGACTCCTGAGTCCTCTGGGCTGGCTTCTGTGCATTTGCTGTGAGCTCCCTTCTGGAAACCCTTCCAAACGGCAGTCATCGCACTGTATTGTAATTATCTCTTTTTCTACTAGATGATGAGCTTGACGTAGGAAGCTGTACTTGATCTCCTTCTATCTTCAGCATCATAGGCTCTACTGAGTATTTTTGCATAAATGAGATCAGATCCAGTACAGCCGAAATTATCACGCTTTGCAAAATAAGTTAAAAAGGTTCAGCTGCTCGGGAGGGCAGGGTTCAGAGGAGGTGGAGTCAGTTCTGATGGAGGGATGAGCACCAGAGGTCTTGAAGGACTGGACTGTCCGGGAGAGAGTCAGAGGAAGGTAGGAGAAAGGAATAGTGGTTATGAGAAACAGAGGAATGTAGGGGCTATTTAGACAACAGCCAGAGTGCCAGTTTTCTGAAACAGATGGGAATCTTCGGCCTGTCTCTGGACTTTTCCTTCCGTTGTTTCAGTGTGGCTTTTTTAAAAGAAAATATCAACAACTGAACTTGGAGAATATCAGGAAGGCCCAGCTGAAATCAGAGACTCTGCTCGAAGAAGAGAATTAGGACCTGCTATCCACTGGGAGAGGCTGTCAGCCAGTCCTGGGACTTGGAGACTCGGCATCCTTCGGAATACTTTTTCCTTCAGGATGATGGACAGCAGCATGAAGCTGTTTGTAGAATATCAGTTTTTAACCACGCATTGTCTCCAAAGCGTCTGTGCATTGTGCAAAAAGTACACTTGGGAAACATTTGGTATTAAATAAAGTTACACTTTTCTTCACAGTAGTGCCTTTAATCTGGAAACATAGTATTACTTACGATTTGCAGTACATTTTGCCTGATAGGGCAAGTTTTCATTCTTATTTTTAAAAAATGATAGATTGTGGCTGGGCGCGGGGGCTCACGCCTGTAATCTCAGCACTTTGGGAGGCCGAGGTGGGCAGATCACGAGGTCAAGAGATCGAGACCATCCTGGCCAACATGGTGAAACCCCGTCTCTACTAAAAATACAAAAATTAGCTGGGCGTGGTGGCGGGCGCTTGTAGTCCTAGCTACTCGGGAGACTGAGGCAGGAGAATCGTTTGAACCCGGGAGGCAGAGGTTGCAGTGAGCTGAGATCATGCCACTGCACTACAGCCTGGGTGACAGAGCGAGACTCTGCCTCAAAAACAACAGAACAAAAAAATCATCAATTGTATCCTTTCAGATAATTCTTAAGTATCAATTTTTCAGATTTCCAAAAGAAACCCTTTGGGGTTTTAATTTAAACATACAGGTTAAGTTTGGCAGCATTGATATCTTTATAGAATTGCCTTTCTACTCCACTTGCTGAGATTTTGTTTGTTGGTTTGTTTTTTGAGACAGAGTTTCTCTCTTATTGCCCAGTCTGGAGTGCAATGGTGCGATCTCGGCTCACCACAACCCCTGCCTCCTGGGTTCAAGCAATTCTCTTGTCTCAGCCTCCCAAGTAGCTGGGATTACAGGCATGCGCCACCACGCCCAGCTAATTTTGTATTTTTAGTAGAGATGGGGTTTCTCCATGTTGGTCAGGCTGGTCTCAAACTCCCGACCTCAGGTGATCCACCTGTCTCAGCCTCCCAAAGTGCTGGGATTACAGGCATGAGTCACCACACCTGGCCATGCTGAGGTTTTTAAAAACACTTTGCAGCAAGGTCTTATAATTTTCTTCAAAGGGGTCTTAATTTATAAAGACTTATTTCCAGCTGTATTTTTATTTGTTTGTTTATTTTAGGGACAGGGTCTCACTCTGTCGCCCAGGCTGGAGGGCAGTGATGGCAGTCATAGGTCACTGCAGCCTTGAACTTTTGGGTTCAAGCAGTCCTCTGCCTCAGCCTCCTGCGTAGCTGGGACTACAGGTGCAGGCCATCATGCCTGGCTCCTTTTTGAAGTTTTCTTTTGTAGAAATGGGATCTAGCTATGTTGACCAAGCTGATTTCAAACTCCTGGGCTTCAAGTGATCCTCCTGCCTTAGCCTCTGAAAGTGCCTGGCCTGTGCTGTGCTTTTGTTGCTACTGTGAGAAAATGCCTTTTTTTTCCCCTGACTATTTAGAGTTTGCATTTAGAACAGTTAGTGGTTTTGAATGTTTAAGGAACTGACCATCTTACTGAACTGTGGGTTTTTTTTTTTTTTTTTTTTTTTTGAGACAGACTCTCACTCTGTCGCCCAGGCTGGAGTGCAGTGGTGTGATCTCTGCTCACTGCAACCTCCGCCTCCCGGGTTCAAGCGATTCTTCTGCCTCACACTCCCGAGTAGCTGGAACTACAGGCACACCCCACCACACCTGGCTAATTTTTGTACTTTTAGTAGAGACAGGGTTTCACCATGTTAGGCTGGTCTTGAACTCCTGACCTCAGATGATCTACCTGCCTCAGCCTCCCAAAGTGCTGGGATTACAGGCGTGAGCCACCGTGCCCAGCCAAACTGTTTTTTAATCACTCATTAGTTGATTCTTTTGGATTTTTTTCCTAAGGAGATCATTCTATTTGCAAATAATGGCAATTTGGAGTCTTTCTGATATTTCTACTTTTGGCTACCCTTACTTCTTCGACTAGGACGGGGAGAGCTCTGAGAAGTAAACCGTGTGCCTAGCTGTAATGGGAGGGCTTTTCCTGCCCTCCTTTGCCTGCCTCATACCCGCCTGTCGTCCCAGCCCCGGCTGCTCTGCCTTTGGGTAGTTTCTGGGGCTTGGTTGCAGCAGCCCATTCCCCTGTCACGGAGCCCCGTACCTTGCCAGTGTTACATCGCTAGGCTGTTAGGCACGATCTGCTTCCCTGTTGATCTGATTCCATCGTCTTCATTTCATTCAGAAATCCCTGTGTTACTGGTCACTTGATTATATTGTTCTCTGTTTTCCAATCCTGCCACAGGCTTTTCCCTTTCCTTGTAACTCCTGGGTGTTTCAGTGGGATTTGCCTTTGAGGGAAGACCCACAGGTAAGTTTGCTTAGTTATTTTCCTGTTGTGCTCAGGAGTTGTGTCCAAGTTTTCAATATTATATAAAAGCCCCTACTTTTATACTTTTTCAAAATTGCAAATAAGACACCCGCTCCCATTGTCACAGGGAAGCCTTCTATTGACTTACTGAGCTGTGCTGATCTGATTGGCAGTTGTAATCAGGGGACTACATCAGGAACTACTCATTGAGAAGGAAGACACTTTTAAGTGTAGACATGGTTAGTGTCAGGCCTCTGAGCCCAAGCCAAGCCATTGCATCCCCTGTGACTTGCACGTATATGCCCAGATGGCCTGAAGTAACTGAAGAATCACAAAAGAAGTGCAAATGCCCTGCCCCACCTTAACTGATGACATTCCACCACAAAAGAAGTGAAAATGGCCGGTCCTTGCCTTAACCGATGATATTGTCTTGTGAAATTCCTTTTCCTGGCTCATCCTGGCTCAAAAAGCTCCCCCACTGAGCACCTTGTAACCCCCACTCCTGCCCGCCAGAGAACAACCCCCCTTTGACTGTAATTTTCCTTTACCTACCCAAATCCTATAAAACGGCCCCACCCTTATATCCCTTCTCTGACTCTTTTCAGACTCAGCCCGCCTGCCCCCAGGTGAAATAACCAGCCATGTTGCTCACACAAAGCCTGTTTGGTGGTCTCTTCACATGGAGGCGCATGACAGATTTTACAAATTCATATGCTATGGCTTGGGCCAAGGTCTGTGGCATACACCTGTATTCCCAGCTACTCAAGAGGCTGAGGCATGAGAATCGCTTGAACCCGGAAGGCAGAGGTTGCAGTGAGAGAAGATTGTGCCACTGCACTCCAGCCTGGGCAACACAGCGAGACCCTGTCTCAAAAATAAATACATAAATAAACGAGGCTGGGCGTGGTGGCTCATGCCTGTAATCCCAGCACTATCCCACCGAGGTGGGTGGATCACCTGAGGTCGGGAGTTTGAGACCAGCCTGACCAACATGGAGAAACACCATCTCTACTAAAAATACAAAATTAGCCGGGCGTGGTGGCGCATGCCTGGAATTCCAGCTACTCAGGAGGCTGAGGCAGGAGAATCGCTTGAACCCGGGAGGCAGAAGTTGCAAAGAGCCGAGATTGCACCACTGCACCCCAGCCTGGGTGACAGAGTGAGACTCGGTCTCAAAAAAGAAAAGAATGAGTGCTGAGCTCAGCCCTGTGCAGTAACCTTTTCTCATAATCGAATGAGATTACGAGAACATGACCAATTTAGGTTTTCACACCTGCTCGGTTTCATCCCTCCAAAGTTCAGATGGTGTCTTCAGAGAAACAGATTATTTGAATCTGCACTCACTATCTTGTACCAGGGGAAATGAGAACAGAAAGCACACAGGGTACTTCCCCAGCTGGTCTTTCTTCTAAAAGCTGCCTTTTTGGTGCTAGGCCTTTCTCATTTCCTTTTCACCCTCTGCCTGGGACAGGAAATGGTAGAGCCTGCATAGATCCAAGAACAGGACTGAACTGGGACCCACCGAACTTTGGATGCAGTTATTGGAGGCATGAAACCAAGCAGGTGTGAAAATCTAAACTGGTCACGTTATTTAGGCCTCATTCGATTACGAGGAAATGTTACTCCACAGAGCTGAGCCCAGCAGTTTTTGTTTGTTTGTTTTTGTTTTTGAGACAGGGTCTCGCTCTCTCGCTCAGGCTGGAGTGCAATGGCGCGATCTCAGCTCACTGCAACCTCCGCCTTCCAGGTTCAATCGATGCTCCTGCCTCAGCTTCCTGAGTAGCTGGGACTGCAGGTGCCTGCCACCACGCCCAGCTAATTTTTGTGTTTTTAGTAGAGACGCGGTTTCACCACATTGGTCAGGCTGGTCTTGAACTCCCGACCTCAGGTGATCCGCTCACCTCGGCCTCCCAAAGTGCTGGGATCCCAGGTGTGAGCTGCCGCTTCCGGCCTTCCGCAGTCTTAGATGACCTGCGCTACTGCATTATTCTGTGCACAGCTCCAATACATTTTCAAGGAGGGGAGTTTGGTTAAGATTTTCTGGTCTTCTAGTCATAATTATATTGTAATGGCACCAGAATTTTACCATTACTTGAACTAGGAACAGATTGAGTACATGGAATCAAGGGAAACTTTCATTTAATCAATTTTTTTAATTTTTGAGATGGAGTCTCGCTCTTTCACCCAGGCTGGAGTGCAGTGGCCGGATCTCAGCTCACTGCAAGCTCCGCCTCCCGGGTTCACGCCATTCTCCTGCCTCAGCCTCCCGAGTAGTTGGGACTACAGGCGCCCGCCACCGCGCCCGGCTAGTTTTTTGTATTTTTTAGTAGAGACGGGGTTTCACCGTGTTAGCCAGGATGCTCTCGATCTCCTGACCTCGTGATCCGCCCGTCTCGGCCTCCCAAAGTGCTAGGATTACAGGCTTGAGCCACCGCGCCCGGCCCGATTTTTGCATTTTTAGTAGAGACAGGGTTTCACCATGTTAGGCTGGTCTCGAACTCCTGACCTTGTGATCCACCCACCTCGGCCTCCCAAAGTGCTGAGATTACAGGCGTGAGCCTCCACCACACCCGGCTATTAAAATTTTTTAATTTTTATTTTTGGAGACTGGGGTCTCACCTTGTTACCCAGGCTGGAGTTGAACTCCCGAGCTCAAGTGATCTGGAGTAGCTGGGACTAAGGGCATGTGCCACTGTGCCTGGCTTAGAGAAACTTTTAATCACTTCAGGAAGCATCGTCGTCCTAATGGCAGAGTTCAGGAGGATGCACCTAAATGGACAATTCCACCTTCGGTTGACTTGCTTTGGTTTTTTATGAGTGGAAGCAAA